TTCTGCTCAGAAACTGCTTACCTGTGCCCATGTCTTCAAGAAATTTTACTTGTTTTGTCTTCCAGCAAATTAAGTGTTCCTGTTTTAGTATTTATGTCTTCGATCCATTTTGAGTTTAGTGCATGGTGAGAGATAGGGGTGTAGAGTCCACGTCCTGAGTGCGGGTATCCAGTTCCCACAGCACCCTGCATTGAAGAGGCTACTTTCCCTGCAGTGTGTGATTTTGGTTCCTGAGACAAAGATCAGTTGGCTGACTGCACCTCTGGCTGTTTCTCCGTCCGTGTGTTCCACTGATCCACATCTGTTTTTGTGCCATCTCTGTGCTGTTTTGATAATTACTGCTTTGTGTATACTTTGAAGCTAAGTGGGTTACTAACAATATTGATTTTTCCAGCCCAGGAGCAAGGACTATCTTTCTATTTTTAAAACATCTCTTTGAGTTTTCGTTGTGTTTTACAGTTTGCATTAGAGATCTTTTTCTTCTTGGTTACATTTATGTAAAGGTACTTTATTTATATTTTTGCAGATAGTAAGAGTGGGCTTGCTTTCTTGATTTCTTTTTTCTTTTTTTTTTTTTTTGGCATCGGAGATCAAACTCAAGACCTTGTGATTACCAGCTGGGCTGCTGAGCTATATCCCTGGCCCCCCCTTGATTTCTTTTTATGGCCAGTTTGTTATTGGTGTATAAAATGTTACTTTCATGTGTTGATGGTGTATCCTGAATCTTTGTTGTGTTCATTATGTCTGTAGTTTTGGTGTTGGTTTTAGGGTTTTGTGCATGAAAGATGCTGTCATATGCAAATAGGGCTAACTCGACTTCTTCTTCCTGGTCTGCAGGCCCGTTTCTTTCCTCTCGTTGCTCGGCTGAGGTTTCCAGGACTGTACTGAAGAGCGTGGCAGTGGTGGACTCCTGGTCGGCTTTCCGCTGTGGAGCGCGGTGTCGGCAGGGGTCTACCCAGTGCAGCCTTTATCGTGATACCTGTCGAGTTTTAGCATGAGGGGATCTTGACTTTTTATTGACTGGTTTTCCTACGTCTGTTGAGATAATCCTAAGGTTTTGTCCTTCATCCTGTTGGTGTGCTGTGCTACGCTTATTGATATGAATTTACTGACCCAACACGCATCCTTGAGGGAAGCTCCACTGATCTTGGCATGTGGAGTGTGGAGTTTGTTTGTTAGTATTTTGTTGGGAATTTTGCATCTGTCCCACAGTGTAGGATACTGTGATGTCTAGTACATGAGAGTGCTCTACGGTTTTCTTTTTTTTCCTTTTCTTTTGTTGTTGTTGCTATTTTTGTCTGGTTTTAGTATTAAGATAAAACTAGTCTCAGAATGAGTTTGGTAGAATTCTCCTTTGCCTTTTGGGAATTTTAAAATGTTTTATAGACGTTAGCTGTGAAACCACAGGGTCTTCCTTTGTTCTGAACCTTTCTTTACTACCAACTCAAACTCATTATGTGTTACTGTTTTGTTTAGGTTTTCTCCTGTCTTTGTGGTTTAATTGTGTTACGGCACATGTGTCTAGAAATTTATCCATTCTTCCAAGTTCTCGCATTGTTGGCATGGTTGTTCATAATAGCCCCGGATGCCTGCCTGGCAAGCTCGAGGTTGTAAGTTTGACCCCCAGTACCAAAAAAAAAAAAAAAAAAAAAAAAGGAAAAAGGAAAAAAAAAAAAAAGCCCCTGATGATTTTGTGTGTTTCCTGTGGTGTCTCTTGGAATGTCTTCTTTTGTCTTTTTCCTTTTTATTGGTACCTGGGATCAAAGTCATGACTGCCTGCTTGCAAGGCAGGTGCTTATGCCGCTGAGCTAAATCCCCAGCCCCCGAATGTCTTCTTTTCTTTTTGTCTCTGGCTTTATTATGATCTTTTCTCTTTTTTTTTTTCCCCTCTTTTTGGTAGCTGGGTTAGTGCTTTGTTGATTTTATCTTTTGAAAAAAATCAACCACTTTGTTTTTAAAATCTTTCATTTACTTGTGCTTTGATCTTATTTCTTTTCTTCTATTAATTTTGCAATTGATTTGTTTTCTGTTTATTTAAGCTGCAGTATTTATTTGAAATCTTTCTATTTTCTTGATGCAGACGCTCAATCCTGTGAATTTGCCTCTTAATACTGCATTTGCTGAATCTAATAGGTCTGGTAGGTTATATTTCCATTTTCATTTGTTTCAAGAAAGTTTTAAATTTCTGGTTTTAAATGGTAAGTTAAGAACATGTTTAATTTCCTCATATTTTTAAAATTTCTGAAGTTTCTAATGTTGTTGGTTTCTGGGTTTATTCCTTTGTAATTGCAGAGGACATGTGATAGAATCTTTTTTTACATTTTTTTTTTTTGTTTTGTTTTGTCTTTTTGAAAAGCGTTTCACTATGTAGTTCAGGCTGGCCTTGAGTTCATTTTGTAGCTCAGGCTGGCCTTGAACTTGGAACATTCCTCCTGCTTCAGCATCCTGAATGCTGAAATTATAGGTGAGTACCACCACATTCGGCTGCTATGATTTTAATTTATTTTTAATTTGTTGGTCTTTGTTTTGTGACTTACCATGAAGTTTGTCCCACATGATAGCAGATGAGAAAAGCGACTTCTGCCGTAGCTGGTTGACCTGTCCTGTGAGTCTCCTGTCTGTCAGATCTGGAGTTTGCCATCGCGTTCTTTTGTTGAGGCTTTTAGTTCCGCCGTCTGATGACTGGTGGAAATGAGGTATCAAAGTCCCCAACTATTGCACTGGAGTCTTTCAATAAGGTTTACTTTATGTGATTGGTGCTCCAGCATGGGGTGCCTGTGTGTACATAATTGATATTCTTAACGTTGGATTGATCAGTTTGTCGTTATATTGTGATTTCAGTCTCTCTGCGGTTCTGGACTGAAAAGCCCGTCTGACATTAAGACAGCTGTTTCTGCTTGTGCCTGAGTCCTGTTTGGAATGGAGTGAGTTCCTTCTCAGGGCCCGTCCTTAGTTACTGTTAGTATCCTTTCAGCCGCTCTGTCTCTTTGTTAGGAAACTGGGCCTGTTTTTACGTTCAGGTTACTGTTCGTAAGTGCACATTTCCTTCTGCCATTTTGTTTTCTGATTTTTTTGTTTTGTATGTTCTTTGTGCCTTTGGGTCTTTTTATTTTTGTGGTTTGATGGTTCTCTGCAGTGATAAAGCTGATTCTTTCACTGTTGTGTCTGTGAATGGTTGAGCAGTGAGTTTTATTCTCTCTGGTTGGTTGTCATGTTGGCAGCTTACATCCTTTTGCTGCAGATGTGGGGCCCCTTTAACCGTTTATTATAAAAACGCTCTACTGATGGTGAATTCCCGGTTTGCTTGTCTTGGGAAGTTGTTATTTCTTCTTAATTTCTGAAAGATAGTTTTGGTGGATGTATTTGTTGGCAGCTTTTTTCCGCTCCTTTAGAAGTTAGAGCTAAGTGGACGGATCGCTGGGAGTTTGAGGCTATGCTGGGTTGTATAGTGAGTTCAAGGCTGACCTGGAGTACCTAGTAAGATCCAGCGTCACAAAGTCAAAAAAGAAAAAGAAGCACCTCCGCAAGATGTTAAATGTGTCATCTCACTTCTGTAATGTTTCTGTTCAGAAATCTGCTGGTAGTCTAATGGGGCTCCCTTATGTGTAATGGGGTACTTAGGTCTTACTGTTTTTAGAGTTCTCTATTTTGTACTTTGACGGTTTGGAATGTGTCATGTGTTGTAGCTTGGCATAACTGATGCCATCTTGAGCCCTGCATTTAACTAGTGCCCTGTATTTGACCCAGGAAAATAGAAAATTACTCAAGGTATAAGTCCCATGAGGAAAACAGAATGAGCTGTACCTACAAGAGAAAAATTAACTTGCTCAACAAAAGAAGCAGGATACAGGTGTCAACTAAAAATTAATGTAAGATTCTAGCTAAATTGTTTCCAACAGGATGCCCTTTGTGATTCTCTCTTTTAAAAACTCTGTAACTTTCTAGTTTGGTGCCACTTGTTTGGACCCTGAACCACGGGGGTCTGTATATGAATGGTCTTGAGCTCAGTTAATTAAATTCCAAATTTATCATTTTGCCTGCTTGAATTCCTATATTGTTGTTCACGAACCCACCTCATCATGGAAGGCCTTTTCAGATCTATTCTAGGGGTTCACTGACCCTACTAGACCTGGGTGATCAGTTCTTACCCAAGGTTTGGGAAGTTTTTATTGACTAGATTTTCTATGCTTTGCCTCCTCCTTTTTGAATAACCTGAATGCCAGTCATTGTTAATGATGTCTCATAGGTTCGGTAGGATTTCTTTCCTCTTCTGTGGTTTTTATTTTCTCTGAGTTGTTGTAAGTTGTTTTGAGGCTGGGTTACATAGTGAGTTCAAGGCTGACCTGGAGTACCTAGAGAGATCTAGCCTTACAAAGTCAAAAAAGAAAAAGAAGGACCTCCCCAAGATCCAAAGATTCTTTGTGCAATAGTCTGTGGTGGAAGCTCCTGAGATGTATTTATTTTTAGCTAATTGAATTGCTGAGCTCCAAGTTTTTTCCTGCTTTTTTATTTTAAAGAGAATAAAACAAGACAATGGGAAGGATATTGGATTTCAAAAACAAGACAGTGGGAAATCATAGTTACTGTAATGCATGCACAGTGTCATCCTCTAAATAGATGCCCAGACCACCAGACGCAGGCCTGCAAAGCAAGCACCAAGGTGTCGCCATCATGTCAGAAGTTTCAGATGTGTGACTTCTAATTTTTTTGTGTGTCTGTGTCTTCTGGACTTGTTCAGAGTGGGCAGGAGGACTGAGATTGCACTCTGCTGCTTTGTGCTCTGATCAGAGGTTCTTGGTGTGGAGAGGTATGGGCCGACCACTTCTCATTGATCTTTCCCCAAGGACAGTGGTGAGGCCTCTGGGACGTGGCCTCCTCACCTCTGGCTGCGGAGGTTGGCCCACTGGGGGGCGTGGCCTCTCGTTCTCTAGGCCTTCATTGGCCCCCTCACCAGGGGGCGTGGCCTCCAGCCAGCAGGCAGTAGTGTCACAGGTTGGGGTGGTTGTTTCTTTTAATGAATTGACCATTACATTCTAAAGCTCCAAAATGGCCTACAGACCATAGAAAGATACCACTTTAGGCTCCTACTTCAAACCAGCAGCTTCAGAAAACTGCTGGTCATGAATCAGGGCCGTGACCCAAGTGTTTTTTAGCAACTGTTTCTGCTGGATTTCTCATTCAGTTGTGAATTGTTTTCCTTCTTTTGTTGAATTTTCTGTTCGTAGGCTCTTGCAAGTAAGATTTCTTACTGAATTGCTTTTTGGGCGTTTCTTAGGTTTCTTTACTGTGGAACCTGTGTCAGGGATCACCGTGTTCTGTTGCGGTGTCATGTTTCAGATTCCTGGCCAATCCAAGCTCCTGAGGCTTGACATTCGGACAGCAGTTGCCTCTTCTGATTTCATGAATCCGTTTGTTAGGGAGGATTTTTTCCTAGATGCGTTGTAGGGTGTTGGTTAGGTATGGTGGTTTGCATTGGTCCTGAGTGGACACATGCTAGGAATCTCAGTGCAGAATCCTTGGCTGTTGTACCCAGCGTCGGAGACTCGGTGCTGTTGTAGTTGTGGGACTTTGCCGTGGGTGAAGGTTGCTGGGTGTGTTGTTTGCTGAATGCCAGTTTCACCAGCGCCAGTGACCTGTAGGGGAGAGGCCTCAGCCTTGCAAGGGCAGATGCTTCTGTCAGTGGGGCCCTCCCCTGGGACGGGTGTGGACTGTGGCAGGTTTGTCCCATGTCCTGCAATGGTGAGTGCTGCTTGAGGGATGGGATCCAGTCTCAGGGCATGCAATCCTTGGCTCTTCAGCTGATGGGGGCAACATCTTCCTGGGGTGGTGATCACCAGTCCCCATGTATGGCCTGAGTGCTGGGATACCTGTTGTGTGGTGGGATCCCATTGGGCTCTGTGAGAGGGTATCGGGGCTGGGCTCCTGTCTCATAGGTAGCAGGGGCTGGAATGGTGACTCCATCCACAGGGTGGCACCTTGCCCAAGGTAGTAGATCTGGGGACGGGAGCAGGAGATAGGGTGAGTGCCTGCCCCTAACAGAACTGCTCCGCTCCACCTGGCTGTGATGACTGGGCCTCCCCTGGTGGTGGCAGAGTCTGCCCGGGATATCCTGTGTCAAGGTTTCCAGCAGCAACCGAGCTTGGCTGGGGCTCGCTCTGGCTCTGTTCCCTCCACCCCACTCTCCTCTGGTGACCGCCACCTCTCCCCGTGAAGTGCGGTCTTCATGCATTCACTGTCATAATCTTTTCTGTGCAGGAGGCGGGCACCTCTGGGCACAGAACTGTCTGCTTGTCTTGGCATTCTCTAGATTCAGATTTACTTCTGAATGTGAGGCCAGAGAGTCCCAGCTGCACAGCAAGCCACCTCATCCCTAGACTGCATTTCCTCCGCAGGGACAGGGAGCTGGGCGCCTTCTGGGCAGGGACCGAACCAGGCGATCTCTACTTACCTTGTATTTCTTTTTTTCTCATCTAAACCTCAACAGTTTACAGTTGTCAGGTAATTGTCACTCATTCTGGTTCAATTTAATAATAAAGTGGAAGCTATTTTATTAGGATTAAACCAAATTAAAATTCTTGCCCAAGAGCAAGGCAACTTGGAAGCCTCCGGAGACGGAGGCCAGATGAGCAGGTGGAACAGGTTCTGCAGCCCAAGGTGGGCAAGATCTGTGTGTGCCCTTCTGGTTTCCCTGGTGCTGCTCCCTGGTGCTGCTCAGGGCTGGGTGCTGCAGCTGAAGTCCTGTTAGTTTAAATTCTTCCAAACGCTGAGCTGGTAGGTTTGGTTTGCTTCATCAGTTTATCAAAAAAAGGAAAATCCAATGTCATACAGTTTTTTCTTTCATAATTAAAGATTTACTTGTATTGGAAATCCATGTGTTAATGAGACGGTCTTTGGAGGAAAAGTGAAGCTTCAGTGGTGCGTCTGAAAAGAATTGTCAGCCCCTTTGCTGCTGTTATTTATTTGTCTTTTTTGTTTCTTATTTTTCTAGTAATCTATTTTGTTTTTCCCTCTACTGCAGAAAGGATAGGTATACATGTAGAGGCTCATACAGGCCTAGAACTTCTCCTAGCCAGTTTACTAAAATTGATTATGTTATGTGTAATGAAATGAATAGCTACTTTGAAGAAAAAGAGACATTATGGTATACATTGCTGATTCTATATTGTCGTGCTGTGAAATCCAGGAATGCATCTATTCTTTGTTTAAAGTGGTTTTAGTCTTTTTTTTTTACTGTTTAATTTCAACATAGATGAAGTTATGGACAGCTATCTTGAAGAGAACAAGAGACATTACAGTAGCTCTTGTTGATTTTCCTATTGTGTGTTTTTTTTTTTTTAAAGTATATTTTTTTGGTCTTTTTCCTTTTTTTCGGTACCAGGGATCAAACTCACGACTGCCTGCTTGCAAGGCAGGCGTTTATGCCCTGAGCTAAATCCCCAGCCCTATTGTGTGGTTTTGAAGGCCTGTGATACCTTTATCACTCTGTTTTGATCAGTTTTATACCATTTTGTTTTGTATGAATTCATTGTGTGTGAAGATACAGACAACTATTTAGAAGAAAATAAGAGACATTATGGAAGTCACCTGTTGAACTCCTGTTGTCTTGCTTTGCAATCTGTGTCACTTACAGTGTTTTCTTCTGATCTGCTGTGTTCTGTTTTGTTATGCTTAGTTTTACCCTTAAAAAAAAAAAAAAGAATCATCAGCCCCTGCCCTTGACCGTGGGGAGTTTTCCCAGCCTGGGCAGTGAGCAGCAGAAGGCTGAGGTGGGCAGGAGGGACTTGGCCCAGCAGGACCCTGGAGGTGTATGGCGCCCCGCACCTTCCCAGGCAGTGCAGGTTTAGAGGGTGCGTGCAGCAGTGACGATCTAGATGGGAATTCATTGCTTTTAAAACAATCTGGTTACAGGTGAAATCCTGGCAGTTTCCATGCTTGTCTCCTCCAGAGGGAGGAGCTGAACAGCCAGTCCCTGTCACAGCAGCACTTTCCTGACTGCAGCATGCGTGTGGCACAGAAGTAGCAGAGCGAGGGACAGCCCTGCATTCCTGCACCGTCTCCTGCCCTGGCTCCTAGGCTGGAGGCTGAGTCTCAACTTGGGACAGGAACAGGGAGCGGAGAGCCAGTATCCCAGCACCAGGAGAGCTGGCCCTGGCCGGAGCCTGCAGCCCAGACTCCACCTTGGTGCCGGTGCAAAACCGGCTCCTCCAGCCACTGTGTCCAGGCCACGAGGTAGGCAGGCGAGCTTGGTGGCTCTGGGCTCTGGCTTGGCCTCAGCCTTAGGCTGAGGAGTCCTGGGGGCCTGGCAAGTATGTGGCTCTTCCCAGGGTTAACATCTTCATCCGTAAAACTCATGAGTAATAGTGCCTGTGTCATGGGGTTGCTGTGAAGGTCGTGTTCATCAGTGTATAGAAGGCCTGAAGGTCGTGCCAGTTCCCCCAGGAAAACCGAGGAAGCTGATTTTCTTTTCAGGACTCTAGGGAGGTGCATGTTATATCGAGGATCCCAGCTGTATGTTTGCAAGGAACATGCGTTTACATTTTCAAGGACGCAAACCTGAATTCTTTTTTCCTTTTTCCAGGGGATGCAGAGAGCAACTAATGTCACGTACCAAGCCCACCATGTCAGCAGGAACAAGCGGGGTCAGGTGGTAGGCACGCGCGGTGGCTTCCGAGGGTGCACGGTTTGGCTGACAGGTATGGCCAACGGGTGCGGTGTGCTCTGCACAGGGTCCCACTCCCCAGGTTTATGCTGTCAGGATGTGTTGCCAACCTGTATTAATAAAAATACGAACAAGCCTTAAATACAGAAGAGCAGTGCTGACAGGCAGCACTGGGCTGTAGGGTTCCGCTGCTTGACTTTGGAGCTCTGTTCTCATAATTGGAGCAAAGACAGCATTTAACTGATGTGGTTGCTGAATTGTGACACATTCCTTTCTGGTCATTCCGTGTCTTTTTGGGATTTTAGGTAAGTGAAGAAAACCTAGAATGCATCTTAAAAGGACTCTTTAGTAGATACTATGCTAAATTAAAGTTTCACTGCAAATGTGACCCTGATTCTGCTCAAAGAAGCTGATAGCATAAACTGCGGGGGGTGGGGGGAGCAGGGAGTCCTGCAGGTGGTGTCTTTCAGCTTCTCCCATCTTCTCCTGCACTGGTTTTCCCGGGACCTCCTGGGCTTAGCTACAGCGGGCTGGGAGGAGGGTGGATTGACCCCAGAGTTGGGGGAGAAGCTGGAAAAATGTCACATCCTTTCACATATAGAAATCATCTTCAAGATTCTGCTGTGTGTGGCCAGGTTGCCCGCTACCATTTTATACCAGTTTATGCCATCTGCAGCAGCATAGGACAGGCTTTGTTTTCCAGATGCTGTGTCAGCACTGGATATGGCTGGTCCTAAGAAATCGGTGCCAATTGTCAGAAAAGATATTCTGTTTTTAAAATTACATGGTGCAGACAGGAATGTTTGTTTTACCATGAAAGAAGGCCTAGAAAGATGGCGGGGGGTGGTGGTTCACACCTGCAGTTCCAGCACACCCGAGAGGCTGAGGCAGGAGAATGGCAAGTTGTGGAGTTCAGCCTGGGTAACTCAGTGACTCAGCAAGACCCTGACTTGTGAAATACGAAGGGCCAGGGGACGTCACTCAGTGTGAAGGCCCGGGGTTCAGGCCCTGGCGGCACACACAGACAGAGACGCAGAAGACGCTCAGCTTTCCTATGGCCTCGTTCCATCTTCTGTCTAGATTGGTAAAGTTGTTGCTTTTCTGTTGCCCGGGGTCAGAGCACTTGTATTCTGTCTAATACCTTGCATTTCTGTAGTTGTTCATACATCAGCTGTGTAAGTAAACTGATTCAGTCCTCACAGTCTGTTCTTTTTCTATGGCGTGTCCACTCTGAGCCCTGTATTTCAGTCAGGTCTCAGAGGTTGATTTGTTCAGTTGGTTGGTTGATTTAGTGATGCCGGCGCCTGAACCCCGGGCCTTGTGCATGATAGGCAAGCATTCTGCCACTGAGCTACATTGAAACCTGCATTCCCCGGGCCTCAGCCTCCGGAGTGGCTGAGATGGATGCCCGCCTGCCCAGGAGCTTTCCATGTGATACCCTTTCCTCATTTCCTTTTAGAAGTTTGGCTTTCTCCTGCGAGTCCCCCTTCTGCGGTTGATTTCTTTGTGTTCTGTGTATCATCTGTTGTCCCCGGATAGGCCCTGGTTAGGAGACCCTTTTCTGGGGACCTTCAGCCAGCCCTGTCCTGTGTCAGGTTTCCACTTCCTCAGGATCTGTTCTGTGCACGCCTCAGGAGCGGTGTCCTACACGGTGTCTTTTTGAGAGGCTCTTGTCATGCTGTTCAGGCTGCCCTTGAACTCATTTTGTAGCCCACGCTGGCCTTGGATTCATAGTGATCCTCCTGCTCCAGCCTCCTGAGTGCTGGGATTATAGACAAGCGCACCATGCCCGGCCCAGTGTATAGTCTACTTTGCTTATATAATAATTGTTATTGAATGCACTGTAGTTTAATGTCCTGTTATACATCACAGTACCATGTGTAAGAGTTATATAGATAAGCAGAGTCATCCAGTGTTCCCTTTGACAGTTTCTCTGTCTGAGAATTGTAATATACACACTGTATCCCCTAGTTAGCAACCTGGTCTCGGACCAGAATTCTGTCCTTGACAGGGACGCTGGAAGTGTTAAGGTGACCCAGTAAGTTCAGTGCCCAGCTCAGGTACAAAATTGGTCATCGCTTCCCATGCTCATCAGTAACACCTTGGTGCCCCTGGCTGTAGACACAGGTATCAGAGAGGCGTCACTAGAGCAGGTGTCCCTGGCTATTTCCTGGGTGACAGAGAGATGTGTGTGTTTCTGGGAGCGGTGGCTGTGAGTGGTGTTGGGAGTCACCACTGTGCCCTGTCCTGCTGCAGGCTTGTCAGGGGCAGGGAAGACCACAGTGAGCATGGCCCTGGAGGAGCACCTGGTCTGCCACGGCATCCCGTGCTACACCCTGGATGGTGACAACATTCGCCAAGGGCTCAACAAGAACCTGGGCTTCAGCCCCGAAGACCGGGAGGAGAACGTGCGGCGCATTGCTGAGGTGGCCAAGCTGTTCGCGGATGCGGGCTTGGTGTGCATCACCAGCTTCATCTCGCCATACACACAGGTGTGCAGGGCTGGAGATGAGACTGGGCATGTGCAGGCTGCGGGCAGGGCTGGAGATGAGACCGGGCGTGTGCAGGCTGCGGGCAGGGCTGGAGATGAGACTGGGCATGTGCAAACAACCCAGGACGTTTGTGCGCTGAGACTTCCCGAGTGATTCCAGCTCCCACGAAACCTGCTAGTAAAAAACTCAAAAGTGTAACAGAGTTGAGCTCAAGCCAGAGGCCAAATGATTTCAAGCTGGACTTTTTTGTTCAGTAAATCTGTATCTGCTTAGAGCATGGGAACGGGGTTTGGGCTCTGTGCAGAGCACGTCTAAATCCACGGTATTTGTATCAGACAAGCAGTGTGGGTTCTGTGTATTTTTGTGGTTATGTTTGTTCACTCATACGTACTTTTTGACTGCTTTTCTAACACCTCTGAACTGGGCATCTTGGTTCTGAAGAGAAACCGCCAGGTCCTGTGAGAGCACTTTCTGTGTCCTGAGGCAGGGGAGGAGGAAGACGAGGATGAGGATGGAGGAGCAAAGAGAGGGCTGTTTGTGACAGTGGGGCTGCAGGAGTGTGGGGTCAGGCTGGGCTGGGCTGGGGAGCTGCCTTCTGTGCAGGAAGACACTGGGGGGCTGTGGCTCCTTGCCCCGTGGGAGCGGCAGTTTGAGACCGTGATACGAGATGCTGTCACATGTTCCAGTGTCTGTGATGACCCTTGGGAGCCTGGCAGGAGGATGCGTCCAGTTTGGCAGTGGTGCCAGCTCTGCTGGGGAGAAGGGAGTGAGTGCAGGTGGCTGAGTGGGAACAGGATCAGTGGAACGCTGCCTGGCAGGAAAGGCTTCCTGCAGGAGGAGCACCTGCCACAGCCTGCGAGGGCTGGAGCACGGTAGGGAGGACAAGGTGAGAGGCCTTCGCAGCCCGGAGGGATGGGAGTGAGCTTGTAGGTTCTCGGTCCCGTCAGAGCCGTGTTTGTTCATTCACTCAGGTGAGGTGTTTTGAGTGCATCTGTATCTGGACGTTGGAACTGGGCGTCTTGGTTCTTAAAATCAGCCCAGTAGTCTAGGTACACGTTATTAATAGAGCAGTGAGTGCAAGTCCAGCACCTCAGCCTGGTGCACAGGGTCTCTGGAGAGCTTAACAGGATGACTTGAGTCACTTCCTCTTACCCTGGAACCAGGACAGTGTGACTTGGAGCAGCTGGGCACTTACGCAAAGGCCGTGATGTGATCCGGACCAGAGGGATGAGGCTGACCGGGGAGGCAAGGGCGCAGACTGAGTTGGTGTGATGTGTGGAACTAAAATCTGCAGCATATGTGCCCCCCCATCAGGGCAACAGGAAGGAACCAGAATAACCCTCAAACGGGGTGAGTGGTGGTGTTATCCTTCGGTGTGGTCAGTGCACTTGACAGGAAATGCAGGCTTGGAGGAAAGAGAATGGATTCCACTGTGGATGTGTTGGCTCCAGATACCCGTGGGCCATCCAGGTTGTTAGAAGAGGTCGGGGGAGTGTGTTTGCTCAGGCACCGGTGAGGCCCAAGCTTAGGTGCTGGGAGAGATGATGTAGCTTACATTGTGAAGTCAGTTGATACAGAGCTCCAGGATGATGCAGTGGGCAGTGGGCTGGGGAAGTGACAGAAGGAGGAACCAGGCAGAGGGAACGTGCTATAGCAAAGAGCCTGTCACACTACAAAGTGCATGTGGCACAGGGAAACTCTGTGTGACTTGTATCTGAGGCACATTCCTCATTGCGGCGATACAATACCTGACACCTAAGGGTTAAAAGAGGAAAGGCTTATTTTGGCTCACAATTCGTAGAGGTTTCAGCCCACAGTCTGGCTCCAAGGCAGGGTGGCATGGCAGAGAGGCATGGTGGAGGAGAAACAGTCCATGCCGGGCAGGCAGGAAGCAGCAAGATCAAGGGAGGAGGAGGGAGATAGAGGCTTAAGGCCACGCCCCAGGGACCACCTCATTCCACCAGGCTTCACCTCCCACATCACACCCGGCTGTGGACCCATCAGTGGACTGATCCACTGTAGGTGTCATGCCCCTGTGACCCAGGCACCTCTCCAAAGCTCCACTAGGAGTGCATGAGGCTTGGGGGGGGTGCATCTAGTTATAAACTGTTACAGTTTATTGATTTATTTATTCAGTTTTTTGATGGATGAGACTGCCTTGTCCTTATTATTGCCAAGAAAAAAAATGACTGGAGAGAGCTCGGCTGAGGCTTCAGGCAGAGTGGGGAGAAAAGAAAGGGCCTCTGGGCAGGGAGGCGCTGGGGTAGTGCATGGTGTGGTGCCAGAGGGTAAGGCTGTGGGGATGCAGGTCAATCTGCACGCCAGAGAGCTGGAAGAGAGGTTCCTAGCTGGACTTCCCTTTTTGAAATAAGTAAAGTTGGCCATCTGGTGAGAGTGGCTGGTAGGTGTGGTCAGTCAGAGGAACCAGAGGGAGGTGGCAGAGGCTTGAGTGAAGGGAGCGGGCATGGTGAGTGCTGCAGGGACCAGCGGTGAGCATCTGGCCCTGCGCTCTGGTGTACCCACTTGCTTGAGGACAGGAAGATGGACAGTACCCTGTGGGGTTTGAGTGAAGGCAGAAAGCAGGGCGGGCTGTCTTGGAAAGGATGAGGTGCCCTGGAGGACAGAGTGGTGAAATAGGTTTCGGAAGCTGTGCAGAAAAGTGGAGCTTGGGGCCTGAGAAGGAGCATGCTCGGGTTGTGTCTGATCCTGGAGCGGGGAGCGGGCCAGCTCGGGAGCAGGAGGCCTGCTCTGAGGTTGCTTTTGTGCCAGCAGAGGTGGAGCTGGGGGCAGCTGCAGTCCAGCTGGACTCAAGCTCACGGTTCCCGTAGATTTAGGTGAGGTTGGTTCCATCCGTGGTTCCCCTGTGGCTCTGCGGGGTCCTGGATTTAGACCACAGTGTGGCTTTAAAAGTTACTATAAAGAAGGAATGTTAAGCTAATAGTGTCCTGGATTTATTTGTTTCAGCTTTCAGTTTATATTTTAAAAATATAAATGAAAATGCACCTGGCGTGCTTCCCTCTAGCACAGGCGAAGAGCACTTCCGCCTACTGCTGGGTGGTAGTGTGGTCACTTTGTACTATTGATGCCTGTGATTTTTGTCTTTCAAGGACCGTAACAACGCCCGGCAGATCCACGAGGGCGCCAGCTTGCCGTTTTTTGAAGTGTTCGTCGATGCCCCTCTGCACGTTTGCGAACAGAGGGATGTCAAAGGGCTCTACAAGAAGGCGCGAGCCGGAGAAATTAAAGGCAAGTGACACTTTCCTCCCAGGCTTCTTGGTGCAGTTTGCTGCCTGTCTCTGGGTCCGATGCTCCTTTCTAAAGATGGTCTTGGTGGCCTGGGGCTCGGCCCAGGGAGCCTGCTGGTCACTAGACAGAGCTGGGTTCTGGCGGTGGTGAGGCCTGCTTGGCTTGGCAGGCAGCTGGCGTGAGATCACAGCTGTTACTGCACTCCTCTGAAAGTGTGGGCAGCTGCAGAGCTAGTGGAAAAGACACCTGCATTCGAAGCATCTCGGTGGCCAGGAACCCTGCTGCCCATACACGCGGCACTTGCTGTCCCCGGTGTTTGCTGGGCAGCACCATTGAGGTAGATTGGGTTAGCATGTTACGAGTTCCACAAGCGCTCATGCCTTGCTTCGCAGGGCCCATCTTTCTAGCTGCCCTCGGGGGGAGCTGTATTTGAGGCGGAGCCCAGATCTGTTCCTTACCCATCTGTGCCTGGGGAGGTAAGGGTTTGAGACCAGCCGGCCGTGCTGTCTCCTTGGAGCTCCCTGTGAGTCTGTCCTTTCCTGGTCGCTTCTGTTTTGGTCAGCTGTGAGCACAGGAGCCTGACCACATGAACCAGGAGCCATGCGGGTGTCTTTTGACGCCAGTCCTGGTGCATTAGTGTTAATGGAAACAGAGGACACGGCCACCTTGGGAAACCAATAGTGGCCAAGGTCATTTTGGGGTCTGTGATTCCCTCAGGTCACTTCTTTTGGCCTTAGCCAGGTTCCAGTCCCTGAGCCCCCCCTAGGTCTGTGAGTTCTTGATTTTGGTGTTCAGTTCCTGGCCCTGAAAAGAAAAAGGTAAAAGGGGCAGGGAAATGCTTGTTGCTCTGGGCTTTTCTGTACCTAGACGGTGGAGCATGTTAGGACTTGGGCAGATCTGCCCATCGTGGTGGCCCAGGACCCCCCCACCCCCCCTCCTCGCACACTCATGCTACCTCCTGGGGGGCTCCAAGGCCAGTGACACTGCTTTGCGTCCCTTTCACCCCTGAAGCTGGCACTGTCTTCCCTGGGAGAGAGCTGGCCGCCACTGAAGTGTGGAGGGGTGAGCTTTGCCCTCTGACTGGTGTCGCCCTCGGATGGTGGCCGAGTTTTGTGTGTATTTGACACAGCAGGGCCAAGTGAAGAGCCCAGATCCCGAAGTCTCTGTACCTTTTAGTGAAACTAACTGGCTGTGCTGCTTTTGCAAGGGTGCATCGGTGAGGGAGGAGATTTGTCCTTCCGGGTGGAGGGAGCTTCTGTGGACGGGACAGCAGGCTTTTTGTGTCTTTAAAATCAAGCGTGGTGTGGCTCGAAGCGTGCGGGTGCGAGCTGGAATGGCTTGGAGGGAAGACTGCTCTACAGGCTCTTCTCTGTGGTGCTGTGTCTGAGTTTGGGGTGCAGAGGTTAGCGAGAGCGTATCCGGTGTCCCTGGGACGGGTCTGTGTTGGGTTGGTTTCTTCTTACTTTCTCAAGTGCAGCTGCATTCAGTGTAGACTTTGATAGAAGGTAAGTGTGAGTGAGTGTGCGTGATACTTATGCACATTGGTTTTAGTTTTCTTATGGTGCTAGAGGTTTTGATTAAAGGGTTCAGTTTTTTGAAAAATCGTTTACTCGGTAACGTGGTGCTCAAAGAGTTTCCTCTGGGTGCATTTCAGACCTGTGATGGTGGATATCATGGAACGGACGGATGGATGGTGTTTGGGGATCTCAGGCTTTTACAGATCTTTTGATGACGTTTGCCAGACAGTAAATACATCCCCAGGCCAGCCGCTCTGACATCTGGCTCATTCCGTGAGGCCTCTCAAGTAGTTGCGTGTTATCAACTTGCCTGTCAGTGTTTTTCCCCAGCAAGTCTTTATTGTCACCACTTATAGGATAAATCAGCCAGGGGCAGGACTATAGATTTCCACGATGTCGGGCCAGGGCTCTTACTGTGGGGCCAGGGCCAGGTGGGTTTCCAGCGTAGGGCACTGTGGGCGTGGTCCGTCCTGGGGCGTACTCGTGTTTGAGAATCGAGATGGAACGATTAGTCTCCTAACCAGAAGTTTGTTTTATTAAAGCTGTTTTAATCTGTGACCCGTCACTAACTATTGCTGTGAATACTGGTCATCTGGACATTTTTTCTTGCATTCAGGACTTCGGGTGATGCTTAGAAATCGGAATAGAAAAAGCATGAATTAGCTGATAAGTCAGTGTGGTAAATAAGGTCTTTCAACCCAAATCCACATAGCAGAGAGTGAAAGACAGAAATGTGGATTGAGGCTGCAAGAGCTTAATTTGCATTTGCTGGGGAGCAGTGGGCCAGGACCCCCTTTCCAGTGTCCCTTTGGGGACCCTGACTCCTGTGAATAATGTGGCCCAGTGTGTCCCTTCAGGGGAGAAAAGAGGGCTTAAGTCGCAGTCTCCCAGGGAAGAAGTGTCCCTCCCACCCCGAGCACGTGCCCTAGCCCTGATGGGATGTGGTCAGTTTCAGTGTCCACTGAGACTTGCTCTCTGGAAACCAGATATTGCCTGCCGCCTTTTAAAGGTTTCACTGGCATTGATTCGGAGTACGAGAAGCCGGAGGCCCCGGAGCTGGTGCTGAAGACGGACGCCTGCGACGTGAACGACTGCGTGCAGCAAGTGGTGGAGCTGCTGCAGGAGCGGGTGAGGGCGCAGGGCCTGGGGCGGGTGGTACCTGAACGTCAGATGCCTCACGGTGCCCGCGCTGTGTGTGTGTGTGTGTGTGTGTGTGTGCGCGCGCGCACGTGCGCCTGTGTGATGCATGGTTGGGTGTCTCAGGCCGTGTAAGCTTCAGGAAGCTTGGGAGTCAGGAATGCTTTGTTCCTCACGTCCATTCCTAAGAGCCGCAGTCCTGCCAGGGTTGTGGAGGCCTGAAGCTCGCGGTTGGAGAGTTGTGAAGCTCGCGTGCTCAGTGAAGCTCACTTCCCTGGATGTTTCGGGGGTACCTGTGTCTTCCCAGGGACAACCGGCCACATCGTGGTGCTGGGTTTTAGGACGTGCCCTGGGGAGGAAGCAGCCTCTCTGGGGTGGAGGCCCAGGCTATGAGGGCAGAGGCGGCTGTGTGCAGTGCGCCTTCTTCCCCGCCTGTGCCCCACCACCTCAGCTCCTCAGCCGCCTGTCACTTTGCCATCACCCCTGCCCGGTGCCCCGGGGAGTCCTGACTGTGGGCTCTGGAAGCTGGCCTCCTCCAGCCCCAGCATCCAGGGCATTAGACGCCGAAAACATTCCCGGGTCTGAACAGACTGTGAGTGTCAGGCTTCTGGATTGTCCGTATTATCAAGTGTCTGCTGGGCACTTCCCCTGGCCTTCCTGCCCAGTTGACTTCCATGTCCGAGTGTCTTCCCTGGGTAAACACGGTGGCATTTCACTGTGAAGGTTTTGTCTCAGCTTTGTTTGGTCCTCAACATGCAAAGTGTACCAAGGACCACAGTGGCTGAGCTCGAGCAGTTGGGGACCTGGGTTGCTGTGCTGCCCGCTGTGCCCCTCTGTGCCCCACTCTTTGTAGGGTGGGGCGCCTCATCTAGGTGCCGGACAGTGTCTCTGCCTCAGTCAAGCCTGGGGAGAGGCCACAGCTGCGGCCAGCAGAGTCCTAGGCACTGGGGATCAGAGAGGAGCCAGCTGGGTTTCCAGCTGGGGGTTTACATCATGAGGGACAAGAGCAAGACCCGAGGGCGTGTCACCTGGGGAAGTGTCTCAGTGTGCGGCATCCACAGAGGGCAGGGCAAGAAGTCCAGAAAGGCTCGGTTACCCGTGTTCCTCCTGGTTTGCTGAGCACCATGTTCTGCTTGGCAGGTTTGTTCTCTGTCAACTCCTTGCAGCTCTGTACGCTGCTCATTTTCAGGGTGTCTGTCTGTAATGTGTACTTCACCCCAAACTCTGACTGACTTTCCCACAGTTTATAGAATTAAGGTGATTGGTGTTCAAGGTTCTTCATAGTTGGATTCTGAGTTGGACATTTTATTTATTGTCCTTACATCTTCTACTGCAGCATTCTGTCTACCCGTCTGTCCAGCCATCTGTCTGTCTCTGTGTCCCTCTCTTTCCATTGCTGATCTTCATGTCTGGAGTGCTGGTGAACACCTGTCGCCTCACTCGCCCCCAGTTAACGACAGCAGTGGGCCCTGTCCCGTCACAGCTGGCCGCCTGCCCCACTCATGGTGTGGCGAGCGGGTGGGTAAGGAGCTGACCCCAGCCCTGAGCACTCTGATGAGGCATGCGTGCAGGGCTGTGTGTTTGGCGACCTGACTGTCCAGTGAGAGTGCTGGGAAGTTGCCTTGCCCCTGTGCTGGCTCCCAGCCGCGTCTGCTTGGGTCGCTGTGGTTTCCCAGGAGCCCTGTGCGTGCTGCTTTTTCTGCGGTCTGATTTTATTCACAGTGACGGCTGGAGTGTTTCAGAGAGGGGAGACACTCGCTTGTGCATTGTGTGGTCATGCTACGCCTCGGCCTTTGTTCTCAGGACGTCTCCTGACATTTGAAGTCCAGCAAAATGGAATCTACGTGCAGAAAGGGGTGCCGGCTACATTGGTTCCGGGCAGGGAAGTTTTCTTATGAAAAATTACTAGTTTTTATCCTAGAGCTGGGTGGCGACAGAGAGAGACGCCGGCGCCCCCGAATGCAGCCCTGTCTTGGCTCCTCCTCCTTGGGGCCAGAGGTTCTACTTCTGTGCTTTCCTCGGAGGTGGTGCTGCATCTTGCAGTTAATGCAGGAGGTTGAGTATTGCCCCCCGTGTGGACACGGCTGCGAACCCTGGGGTTGTGGGAGTGAGTTAAGTAACAGAATTCCTAGCTGGGTGTGGCGGTGCATCCTCACCATCCCAGCCTTCTGAGAGGCTGAGGCAGGAGGGTCACAGGTTCAAATGTGGCCTGGGCAGCTAAGCAGCGGCGGTCCTCACCGCAGGGTGACTGGTACGAAGTGAACCTTGCAGGCAATCTCTTCTCTCCAGGGCAATTTCTAGGGTAGCACTGCCTCGTCGTGATGGATTCTCAGCAGCCGTAAGTGCTGACAGGTGCTGGCCGGGTGCAGTGAGGGTTAAGGCAGAGGCTGTCCCCGACCCTGTGCAGGCCCCGTGCCAGGTCCTGCCATGGCGTTGGGAGAGCCGTGTGTGCTGAGCTCTCACGCGCCCAGCTCTTCCCGTGTGTGAGGCCCTGGTCAGGTCCCGGAGCTGAGCGGCCGCCTAGAGTCCTCATGGAGCTGGAGGAGTGGTTGCCGTGATCTCCCCGAGGGCGCGGGGCCGGGAGGGGAAACTGTGTGTCCCGGGGCAGTGTAGGAGTGAGGAAGGGGGATTCCAAAGGACATTGCAGGATTCGCACTAGGGCAGAGAGGGTGACTCAGGGCGGCAGGGCGAGGCGAGGCAGGTACAGAAGCTGCAGAACGTTGACCCAGGCGGCTTCTGCCCAGGGCTGGACAGGATATTCGGGAACAGATGTCCTTGCAGGGTTTTTTTCCTTGGTGGTGGTGGGGTGATCATGGGGATTGAGCCCAGGGCCTTTGCATGGAGCTGTACCCCCAGCCCTTTTCTTATTTTTGGTTTTGAAACAGGTGTTGCTGAGTTGCTCAGGCGGGCTCACACTTGGGATCCTCCTGCATCAGCTTCCCACAGTGCTGGGGTGATAGGGGAGTACTGTCATGCCCAGGCTCCAGAAATGGTTTTTGAGTTAGGTTGCTGAGGTCTTTATGCAGGTTCTGGTCTGACAGCCACTTGGGCTAGCTCTTGTTCTTAGACGTGTGTGTGTGTGTGTGTGTGTGTGTGTGTGTGTATGGCCCTTGGCTGGGTGGCTTTCTTTTTTCTCTTTTCCTCTCTTTTTCTTTCTTTTCTCTTTCCATTTTCTTTTCTTCCCTCTTCTCTTTTCTTTCCTTTTTGTGTGTAGGGATTTGAACTCAGGACCTTGAGCTTGCCCGGTAGGCCCTGTGCCCCTGAGCTATGTTCCCAGCTTTCTTAGAGTTTGACACGAGTGACTTCATTATGATGCAGTGAACTGTCCTACCTCAGAAAGCCAAGTGGTTTTTCCAATGCTAATTTTTATATGTAGCTTAAAAACTATATTGTAAATGAGTGACTTGGGGTATTGTCCCGCTTACAATGAAAAGTTCTTTTCTAAGTAAGGAAAAGTAGCTGGGGGAGGTGAATGCCTGTAATTCCAGCACTCAGGCTAAGGGAGAAGCAGGGCTGTGAATGTGACCCACTTTACCCAGAAGGGTGGTAGATGAAGCTTCCTGGGCCTGGTGCCCTCGGTGCTGTGGAGAGAGAGTCCTTAGATGGCTCCTGCCATCCTTCTGTAAGACCTCTGTGTGGTCCAAGGAGAACGTGTACAGAGGGTTTAGGATGGCGACCACTTTGGTCATCCTGACACCGCACTGTAGCCTCAGGGTCACTTTGCTCCTTTTCCTTCTGGTGGTACGGTGTACTTGGGGCCAGCGACCTGGCCACTGGTGTGAAGACTGTTTGTGGCCTGGTTTTCTCCCTGGCCTCTCCGGCAGCGTCTGTTGTGGGATGGGGTGATGGCAGCCTCCAGGCTCTGAGCTGAAGTAACTTCCCAAGCCTCCAGTGGTCACTAGGTGGCCTGCTTGGATTACACTTGAACTTGGCTGCTCAGGACAGGGGACCAGGCTCTCTGTTGGTGGTTTGAATCTAGACTGACATTTCAAGTACTGGTTTCGAATGTATCAGCATTTACCAGTTTGCTAGATGAGGTAAGGCTTTGTCTCTTTACACCCTGGTGGTTCTGAGTGGATTTCATCTGTGCACTGGAACCTGGCCATGCGCTGAGCCTGGAGGATAGAGAAGGAAGAGGTACAGCAGATGTGGAGGAGCCTTGGCGTTGAGGGCACTGAGCAGACTTGGCTCTGGAAAAAACCGCACAGAAGCCTGTTTAACCCCAGGGCCCTGACAAAGCCTAGGCGGAGGTAGAGGGGCTTCCTCTGAGGCTGTGAACCTGGTGCTGATCTGCAGCCTCTGCGTGCACGGATGCGGCCACGGCGTGGGTGGGTTTTGGATTGTTTTTTATCCGTCAGGCAAAAAAATAGGGAAAGGTTTGCAGCCCACGCGACTCTTTAAATTTACAGGGCTGATATTTAAATGTTTCTAGACTGATAGGCAGTACAGCTCACCTCTTGGTACTGGTGGCCTGTGAATTGTTGCCTGGCCTTGCTTAGGACTTGGAGGGGCAGCCCGGAGCCTCTTTTACCTTAAGGGCTGGGTGCCTGAGCTCTTGAGAAGACAGTGGAGCCAGATACCCTGCCCGTACTCTGGGGAGGCAGCTCAGTACAGTGGTCCTGGGTCCAATCTCCAGTTCCATCAAAATAAATAAATAGCAGGGCATGGGAGCGCATGCCTGTAATCCCAGTATTTGGGAGGCTGTGGCAGGAGGATCACTGTGGCTATGGCGCCAGCCTGGGTATGTAGTGAGTTCAGGGCCAGCATAGTGAAACCTTTACCTGCATAGTGAAACCTTGTCTCAAAAAAGCCAAAACAAATAAATTAAAAAAATAAAAAGGTAAGGAGAGATGAGATGTCTAGAGACCGTGAAACTTTCTGTGGCTTGTGACGTGTTTTGTGTTTTAAAGGAATTGTGGAATTAAAGGCTCAGTGTACATACACAGATTAGGAAGAAAACAGTCTCTCCCAGCCGGTCATGGCTGTGGAAATCTGAATGTGACCCACACAGCACCAAGTGCTCAGGCGGCAGGGTCTTCACTGGTGTCCAGCTCTCTTGTCTCTTGGGGGCGGTTTTGCGCCTCTTGGATGTTCAGTGGTGGCTTTGGGAGAGGAGACAGTGTCCTAGAATGTGCTAGAGACTGATGGGGCCCGCATTTCTAAGACTTCTCTGTCTCCTGGGTGGACACTGAGTCCTCTGTCCCCGCAGAGGCTCTGCCCTGGGCAGGGATTCCTGGCGCATGTGGGTGCTGCCATGTGCATGAATCCCAGAGATGCTGCTTGTCTTTTGAAAGGGAAGTTCATTAGCCACCTCTTTGATGCTTCTTTGGGTGTTGGTGAGGCATCCGAAGAATCTGGTGTCCAGGTTGTTAGTCTAAAATACATTTAAAAGTATTACTTCGTAGGAATTTGAAAGGGGAACAATTTTGCAAAGTGCTTATAGTGAAAAATTGATTTTGAGTCCAAAATAAAATATAAGCCATTTCCTCTCTTGTCTTGGAAAGAGAGCGAGCCACACCTGTGTGTTGGCCTGGGTCAGCAGTGTGCGGCTGGACGTGCCTTCTTGCTGACGCACGGTTATCTGTGCCCAGAGCACTGCACACGATGATGTGGTCAGCTCACAGAATAAACGTTAGCTGCATCATGTTCAGCCTGGTTATGTTGGCGACACTTAGGTTTGCTCACAAGTTAAATGGAAATATCTATAGAAAATTGTATTGTTTTGTAGTACTCTGTCTCTCTTTTTTGGGGGCTTCTGAGGATTGAATTCGGGGCCTTTACACTGAGCTATATCCCTAGTCGCTTTTTTTTTTTTACTTTGAGGCAGGGTCTAGTTAAGTCTATAAATTGCCCAGCCTGGGCTTGGCCTCCTTCCTGCCTCAGCCCCCAGAGTGCTGGGACTTGTCCGTCCTTGCTGTGAGCTCCTCTGCCTGGGGAGCAGCGTCAGGCGCTGGGAGACTGCTGAGGGTGGAGGAGAAGGTGTGGCCCGTGGTGTGGAGCACACCGCTCCCGGGTCCTGTGTGTAGAACCAGGGCAGGGGCTTGGGGCAGCAGCCACAAATGCCCCTGCGCATGTGACAGAGGTGAAAAGGTGAGTCTGCCCGGCGCCTGCTTTTGACACCCCGATTGGTGACATGAGGGCGTGAGAGCAAGAAGGCTCCGCCAGGGTTCTTGTCCTGACCGGAGTGGGGCTCTGCTCCTCTCTGGGGCCCCTGGGTCTCTCTGTTCCTGCACTGCACCTGTCAGTGCTCGAGGTATGAAGGGTTGGAAGCAAGGGCAGGAGAAATCCGTGCACCATGTTTCCCACTGCGGCGCTGCAGCAGAAGCTGGGCTGGGAACCGCGTGCTTCCTTGAGTAGAACATTCCGGCCTCAGGCTTGCCCTTCACCAGCATGCTGAGAAGTCGAGCACTGCCCAGCGGCCCTGGGAATCACCACTGCATGCCACAGTCATGAGAAGAGCTCAGAATCAGTTCAAGTGACCACTTACTGCATTTAAGCTTTTACTGGAGAAGCAGGAAACGGTAATTTCGGGACCTCTGTTGGAATCCCAGCTCAGACATTTGCCTGCTCCTGATGGCCTCAGAGATAAGGCCCTGCTTTCCCTGGCCTCAGTGGAAGGAGCAGGTGTCTTTGAGGAGGCCAAGGCTGTCTTCTGGGGAGCAGCCTGTCCCGGGCTGTGCCTGGCGAGGCTGGCCCTGTGGAGAGCGCGTCTGCTGTTGTGGAATCCAGCACCTGGAGCCCTGTGCTGGGCTCTGGCTGTGTGTCAGGCGCTCAGAAAGAACTGTTTCTTTTCTTTTTTTTTATTTTATAGAGGATAAAACAGAATAAAACCAATCAAAACAAACCAGTATAAAAGATACAGGACTTCAAAACATTACACAATCAACAATAGTTAACCATAATGCCTCTCAGTGTCTTCAAAATAGCTGCAGATACCTTTGTATACCTTCGGACATAATAAAAATCAGACAAAAGAGAATAGGAAAAAAAATAAAAACAAAACAAAACAATGAATGCAATAAAGGACTATAAAGAAGCCTATAGTAAATCCCAAATGGCCACCATAATATATCTTGCTGTCTTTGAAATAACTGCTCCTGCCATCGGATTTGACATAATCAAAGCAAAAGAAAATAAAACACAACTCAACAAAACAATGGAAATGATATAGGACTTCCAAAACATGACCACAGGGAATCAACAAATGGCTGCAACCCTCAGGAAATTTCTCCCCGGGTACCACACTGTGTACCACTGTCCTCTGAACCTGTGATCAGCCACTGGCGTAGCCCTGCAGTGTCAGTGAACACTGAACACCACAGACATCCAGCTGCGTTTCACCTCCATAGCTGTCCTCACAGCCTGTTGTCTATGGTGGGAGTGGGTGTGGGGTACGGGTGGGTTTGGTACTTTCCGTTTGCCAGCCCCTTGGGGTTGGTGGCGGCCCGTGCATGGTGCTGGTTCCCAGACTGGGCTTGCTTGCTGGCGTGGTTTTGTCCCCCCCTCCCCCTTCAGTCTGCAAATGGTGCTGACCCGCGGGGAGAGGCTGGGGTCTGTCAAGAGCTGTTTCTCCAGCCAGGACAGTAGGAGTAAAACTGACATAGTCTGTTAGGTTTCATGTGTTTTTGAGTGCTTTTTGTCACATCTGTTTGGGTCACCGCTTGTTTGCAGTCGCCTGCTTTTGCTGTGGAGTGTGGTGGAGGAGCGGATGCCTCCTCCTGCCTTGAGTGCCACTGTGTGTGTCTGTCTGGTGTGTGAGGATTTACCTGCTCGAGAGTGGGTAGACCAGGAGGAAGACTGGCTCTGGGAGTCGTGACATTCAGAGCCCTCTTTTGTGCGGCTTGTTTTGTTTTGGACAGTACTGAGGATTCATCCCAGGGAGCAGCACTGCATGCCCTCTCTTTTGTATTTCCTTTTGTGTTAGAGTCCTGCCAGGATGCCTGGGCGGCTTTGGCCTCCCGAGTGGCTGGGATTCCAGGCACACCACTGCTCCCTGCCTGTATAATTCTGTTAATACTTTGAAATGACTTTCTTAAAAAAAAAAGAAAAGAGAAGAAATGCCTTTCTTCCTTAAGGTTCTTTGTGGAGCTTTAGGTCAGTGAAGCAAGCACTGAACTGTGTTCTTGTCACAAAGGACATCGTTCCCGTGGATGCCTCTTATGAAGTGAAGGAGCTTTACGTGCCAGAGAACAAGTTGCACTTGGCGAAAACCGACGCGGAGTCATTGCCAGCGCTGCAGATTAACAAGGTGAGCGCGGGGCTGTGGCCACACCGCACTGGGAGGGACCGAGCTCCACAGCCAGAACCAGTGGTGTCACTGCCCAGGGAGGAAGGAGGGGGTGCGGTCCATTTCCAGGGTGAAGCAGCATCTTACATCTCCGTGCCTTTTGTGAACTTCTAGTCGGATTATTTATTTATTTTGAAATATCAAAGGGAGGTTTTGTCAGGTTTTTATTGTAAGGGAAAGATTGAATTCTGCAGTGTTAAGAAATACTAGCCCATGGTAATTAAAGGGATATTTCCCCTTTAAACATGTTTCCTCATCTCCTGGCCAACACGTGCCTCTCCTTTTTGGGTATTAATAATTCCATGGCTTATCCTAGCTCTAGTGGTGTCCTTAGGTGTCTTCCCCAGTTAATTCTAATTTCATCTAGGGATGATGAGGATGGAAATCACAATTTATTTCTCAACCTTAGAAAATTTTAAGTCAAAGCATTTATATAGATTTTAGAAACAGATTAAGGAATGAGCGTATGGACCAGGAATTGGATTTCCCAGCTTTTGTGACAGCGAACTTCAGAGCACCCCGGGAAGTGCCAGGTCACTAGTAGGACCTCCTGGGCATGGAAGGGGCGGTGCCTGCTGAGGGCTGCTTGAGCGAGGCCAGTGTGGACTCGGGTGCAGAGCTCCAGGGCCAGAAGGTGCCAAGGGATGGGGTGGGGCAGTGTGCCAGGGAGCAGGATGGTGCACACGCACATGCACACAGACACAGACAGGAGCGTGCATGAGTGTGAGCCCACGTCTTTCAGCCTCTAAGACCAGAAGGACAGCAGCTTTTCTAACCGGGAATCTTCTCAGCGGTTCCCCAGGGCACCCAGTTGGCTGCTCACCCAAAGACCCCACTGCTCTGTGCAGCTCCTCGCAGGCCCCGTGGGTGACGCAGGCCCAGGCTGGAGCTGAGGCTCCAGGATGCAGGAATTTGGGGCTGGGGTGCTGATGTCACCTGGTGTTGGACCAGGGAGAGCCACTGTCAAGCGTTAGGAAGAATGCAGCAGACGAGGGCTTGGAAGAGACCATTGTGTCTCCAGGACACACATTTCTGGGAGGTGAGGCATGGCCTTCCTTCCACTGTCTGGTCTCCCAGGGGACACATCGGCTGCGGTGCCTGGGATTAGATAGGAGCTTGAGTTTTCTTGCATGGGGCCAGGCAGTGACGAGGATGTGCCCCATGTCCATTCTCAGAAGTTCTGGGGGGACATGCAGGGAGGCCGAAGTTTCCAGAAATGAGCCTTCAGGAAATCACACTGTCTGCCATGGGTGAGGGACTGTTTTGGTAAAGGCTTCTTATTTGAGGCTTCCCTTGGTTTAGGATGGTTATCAAAATGCGGTTTCCAGGCCTTTCTGGTCAGCATTTTCTGAGCTCATGAGAGAAATATGAAAAGTCTCATAGAACACTGACTTAACAAACTGAGCACAAAGTGTTCTTTATTTTGGCAAGCTTTCCTAGGGCATCTGATGTGCGGAGTTTGAGAGGGCTGGTATTGGGGAGGCTGTCCTTTCTGGAAGTGCTTCCAGGCCTAAATGTGGTAGATCCATCAAGGGAATACTACTCAGCCACAAAGAAGCACACAGCAGACTTACTTGTAGGAAAATAGGTGGATCTTGAGACCGTAGTGCTGAACGAAATAAGTTGACACAGCACTATCAGATGCTTTGTTTTATATGAGAAAGCCAAATATAAATAGAGAGCAAAATAAGAGAGCTGATAGGAAATGGGGATAAGTAATAAGCCTAATGTTGTTTACACTTATTATGGAAACTTTTCCTGGTTCTTTGTTAGGATTGTATAATCATCCTTTTAATGCTTGTGCCCATTACTGTAGAATTTAGGTCTGCAGGTCTCCGGGGCTCATACTCGGGGATGCACAACTGGATACCTGTCCCTGTCTCCCGCAGGTGGACATGCAGTGGGTGCAGGTGCTGGCCGAGGGCTGGGCCACCCCGCTGGGTGGCTTCATGAGGGAGCGCGAGTACCTGCAGTGCCTTCACTTCGACTGTCTCCTGGACGGTGAGCAGCGGGTGGCGTTTGTCACTGTTCACAAAGAGCAGTGTTGATAGTGCTCGGGGCATCGGTAGTGGACGGGCTCCTCATCCTCTGCCTGTTGTGATTTGTTGCCCTGGAGACAAGGGCTGAGCATGGGTTGCAGAAGCTGGTACAACCTCCTTGTGCAAGGCTACCTGGTCACTGCGAGAGCTTCCCCTGTGGTGCCCGCGTGCGTGCACAGGCACATGTGCCCAGAAGCCCATGTCCAGCCTCTCATAGAGGAGTCCTGGAGTCCTGCATCAGGAGCCAGGTGGTCAGACCCACGGTTCTTCCTGTTCTTGCACAACATTAAAAACCACGCCAAAGAAGCTGACGCCAGTGCGTCATTATCCTAGTCTGGCTGCTTCTCTCTGAGGAGTGTGCTGATGGTGAGTGTCATGTATGCCGTAAAGACAGTGCTTTTGTTTTTTGTTTGTTTCTTTTTCTTTGACTCAGGGTCTCGTTGTGTAGTCCAGGTTGGCCTCAAACTTGCAGTAATCCTCTTGTCTCAGCCTCCTCTGTGTCATAGAGAGTGCCAGCGAACCCTGCTGATATGTCACCAAGTTCCCCTGCCACCCGACTTCTGCAGGGGTGTTAGGAAACACAATTCCTGATCATTGTCTTGGAGAAACTTTGGGGAATGACACGTTCCCCTTTGACTTTACCCTTGGGAGTTTGTGGGGTCCCTGCACTGCTGCTCAGTGGTGGTCCTAGACATGCGCTCATTTTGTTTTTGCACTGTGCCCTGTGGTGGTGGCTTTAGAAGCAGCCAGTTGTCACGGTGCCACCCTCTGTCCAGGAGGCCAATCTGTTATTGCTGAGCTGGCAGGGTTTCCATAGGGTGTGGATATGCAGTGCATTGCCCCGAGGACGCTGTGTCCTTCCAGGCTATGCTCGGTGAACTGGTAAAAATGGCGAACCAGACTGGAAAGACCAGGACCGGAAGCTCTGCCTCGGCGTTGCTGACAGGGTGTTGGGTTTGAATGGCGCTGCACATGGTTGCTTTTGTCTCCGGGTCAGTGATGGCTAATGTAGGTTTGATTTTAATACTATTAATACAGTGGGAGTCGTTTTTGTCCTCCTGTTGCAAGGATGCCCAGATAGACTCACTTAACAAATAGCTGTATCATTCTGTTTCCAGAAGGGTCCCTAAATACTGTTTTTGTCTCCTTCTGCAGGGGCACACAGTGCACTCTTGGTAGTGTTAGTCATAAGTTTCTTCTAATTTTGTGATTCTGTTTAAAAATCCCTCCGCAGCTGGGAATAGTAGCGCATGCCTATATTCCCAGCATTTCGGCAGGCAAGAGGATGACAGGTTTGAGCCCACCCTGTCTTAGTGACTTAGTGAGACCCTGTCTCAAAATTGAAAAAGTAGAAAGGGCTGGGAATGCAGCTCAGTGTGAAGGCCCCAGGTTTGATCCCCAGCACTGGAAAAAAGATAAATCTCCTTAAGGACATTTGATGAATTGCTGTGAGAATTCCTATATGCTGGACTGATTCTTGTAACTTTGCTGCTTATTTCCTGTTCTTTACTTCTGCGGTCAGCGCTGGCTTTCTTGGAGGTTGTAATTTGTTCCTTGCTGTGCCAGGCACTGAGTGGCTGCCTCTGCTGCTGGATCCATCGACCTCTGCAGAGCAGGACTGAGGGGTGGCCGGGACGGAGCTTGCCGAGTCACCCATGTTTCTCCCCGTCCCTTCGTGCCCAGGTGGTGTCATTAACTTGTCAGTGCCTATCGTCCTGACGGCCACTGAGGAGGACAAGGAGCGACTGGATGGCTGCACAGCCTTTGCGCTGATATATGAGGGCCGGCGCGTGGCCATTCTTCGCAACCCGGAGTTTTTCGAGCACCGGAAGGAGGAGCGCTGCGCCCGACAGTGGGGGACTACCTGCAAGAGCCACCCCTACATCAAGGTCCTACATGCATCTCACCGCAGCTGCTCTTGATTTGCCAGTGACACTAAGATGAGGGCCCTGGGTGTCAGCACATCTGCTGGCCTTGCTAGCATTTGCAGATGGCAGCTGGGTCTTAGATCCTTAGTTAGGGACCTTTCAGAGCATATGATCCTGTCATTTCAGCCTAGATAAATACAGGTTCAACTAGTGTTTTTAATTTATTTAATTTTTGGTGCTGGGGACTGAACTTGGCGTTGAGCATGTTAAGCGTGTGCTTTAACACTGAGCTACACCCTCAGCCAGTAGCAGGTATTTAAAAACCATCCACTGTGTCCTGGGCTCGGAGCAAGATGCTGATATTTGGAATGCAGGGCTGGAACACGATGGGCACAGTGCCAGTGCTCCAAGGGGCTTGCACCAGGAGTCTGGTCTGTGCTGGGCTTCCACGTTGAGTTTCCAGTGGGAAGGCAGTGAGGTACAGCTAGTGTCCCGTGCGCCTCATTTACTACCTGTGCGGTGTGCGGAAGCCATCACTGAAGTCAGGTTTCTGTGAGTCGTGTGGTGCATTAAAGCAGACTTTGCATTGGACAGTGACCTGGTGCATTGTGGGTGCGTAGACCCTAGGGGTGGGGGTGGGGTGGGGGTGGGGGGGTGGAGGCCGGGCTTGCAGACATTGGAAGCAGACGCGAGCTTCAGAGGAATTTAAGGGAGCATGGACGAATTTGTGGGTGAATTAGACAAAATTAGAGTTTGGATTTGCCTATGATTGTGAATGATTCAAAAGTTCAGGGCCACAGGATGGGGGCGGGAGTGACCCAGGTTACCTACTGTTAATTAACATACAGCAACAGTGAAGACTATGTCTAAGACTTTAAAAGTCCTAATTATTCAGGTTGCTTTTTTTTTCTTGCTGTTTGTATGTAAATTTGCCAGTTGTTTCCAAGGCTGGGGAACTTAAAGACGATCTAACTCTAGCAAGGATGAGCTCTGTGGAGTTCGTTCCCTGTGCGATGGAGCGTAGATCACAGCTGTGTTTGGCGCGCGTGAGGGCCGCCTTCTTACCAGCGATGACCTTGCTTCCTGTTTAGGCTTGTTCTTTTCTCTTTCTTCCACCAGATGGTTATGGAACAGGGAGACTGGCTGATCGGCGGGGACCTTCAGGTCCTGGACCGGATCTACTGGAACGATGGTCTCGATCAGTATCGCCTCACTCCCACTGAGCTCAAGCAGAAGTTTAAAGACATGAACGCCGGTAAGATGTGTGCCTCGGCAGCGGATGCGGGGCCTCCTGGGGAGAAAAGCCCTGGACGTTTTCTTCTGTGCCCTCTCCGGGATGTGGAGAGGCACCGCAGTAGTAAACTAAGCCCAGGCTGATGTCCCGACGCCCTGGGGGGTTGTGTTGCGTCAGTGTAGTTCAAGCTCATGTTATTTTGCACACAGTGTGGAGGTGGCCGTGAATAACGAACGCCTGCGTGGACACTCAGTAGACACAGGGACCAGAACTTCTGTGAGCGGCACTCAGACAGCGGGCTGCGCAGTCCAGCGCGGGGGCAGGGCTTCCTCAGGATTGGTCCATCGGCAGTGTTGCTGTTGGGCGCTCAGCACGAGGCGGGGAAGTAGACCGGGGTGCGTGTGGTGGAAAAGGCGGATGTGAGAAGGAGCGAGAGCGTTGGAGAGGAGGAGGCGCGGCTTCAGTGAGATGGGAAGGCTTTGTGCTGTGCTCGTGGTCCAGTCGTGCATCTGCAGCCTCAGTACAGCAGCCTGCTGGCCGGGTCTTCCTAGGAAGCTGAGGCGGAGCCCAGGGCCCTGGGGGCGCTGGTCACTCCACCCAGCACTGTGGAGTCTGGAGTTGTGGCTGGAGGAACAGACTGCAGCTGCCTTGCAGGATGCTGCCAGCCACGTGCACTGCCGGTGCCCTGCAGCCCCATTTCTGCAGGACCAGTGGGCCTCCATGTGATTGGAGCCCCCAGTGTGGCCCAGGCCAGACCCCCAGCCTCTCCTCCAAGGACTCCCAGAACCACTGTGGGATTTTATGTAAAAGCGAGGTGCAGTCCTTGGGGGGTGCAGTTGTGGGGAGTGGAGGCCTCTGCTGTGTCTCGGTGGGAAGGGGAGCAGGAGCAGCCCCCCTCCTTGCTGCCGTTGCACTTTGCCCAAGTTTGAAGTCATGTGAGTTAAAACCCAGAGGCCTCCAGGGCCACAACCTGTGCCCACTGTGCCCTGCGTCCTCCTCGGTCCCAAAGTGGCAGTGTGGCCAGGATGCACGTCCGGGAAGAGCCCGGCTCCTTCTCTCCCTTCTGGCTGAGACGCTTGGAGCCCAGGTGAGGCCTGCATCAGGACTGAAACCTCACTCGGGCGCGGCCCCGGGCTGTGGCGTGGGGTCCACAGGTTGTCAGTGCCACCCTCTGTGGTGTAAGGGAAAGGGCTTCTGGGAAAGATTTTCCTTCCTGACAGGAAACTGGCTTAGGAAGTGACAGCTTCCCCCCCAGAAGGGAAAGCCTTGGCCCTCATTTCCTCGCCTTCTGCCCACGCTGTGCCTTCCTATGAGGGTGACCGCGCCATAGGCCCTGCAGCCTTCTGTGCCCATGAGCACCCTGCATCCCCTGACCTGTGTCCTCACTGGGACTCATCTGCCCGGATTTCTTTTCCGGAGAAACAATACATATTCGAGTTATTTAAGACGTGGAGTCGGCTCCCGTGCCATGGAGTTTAGCTCACATGTACTCTGGAGCCGGGCGTGTGTGATACCACCTCGCTTTACTGTTCTTGGCCACTGTTTGGTTCCTATCTGGAACCGATGTCCGTTAGTTGGTTGTTGGCACCCTGGAGAGGTCTTATCAGGAAATTATTGCTCATAATTAGGACTCGAATGTTACATCTGTTTTGCAGTCTTCCTTGCAAGCCAAACATGTCAACTTGTTTGGAGAATTTGTTGCGTAACAAATGATTTCAACTTTGTTTAAAGTAGCTGAGAGCCAGTTATTAGCCCTACATCAAACAGCAAAGATTCATGGTGTTATTTTATTTACTTTTCCATTTTAGACTGAAGCAAATAAGCAGCAGACCAAGAAGTTTACTTTGTAGTTCTCGCTCACACATAGGAAGCCAGTAACGCATTGCCTATTGCTTCACGGGAGAGAGAGCAGGGATCTTACTTGTTTTTGCCATGCTCTCTTTCTTACCTTTCCCTCCTGCCCTCGTTGAGGGCCGTATTTTGATTACCCCATGTGGGCTCTTGTCCTGAGCCAGAGCAGCATTAATTTAGTCAGCTGGCTCCCTGGAGACCCCTCTGAGGCTGAAGGGTGCAGGGGTCTCTGGTACCCACACCTGTGCTCGATGTGATGTGCTTCCAGATGTTGAAGTCTTCTGGTTACTGCTGTGTGACCTGTACCAGAGCCCAGTGAGGAAGAATCCTGGGGTTCTGCATCATTTCCTTGGAGCTGCCTGTGGCAGTATGGTTGGATGCCTCTGAGAGGGCGCTGTGTATTGTGCGGTATGGAGCTAGTTCAGGTGTGTGGATGTCGGAGAGCGTCTTGGGCAGCATCAGGGTCACTGCAGCAGAGCAATGAGGTGTCTATAAAGCCAGGAGCTTTGACTGCAGGTGGCACTGAGCTGAGGTCAGCGGGAGCGCCTCTGTCCACAGGTCCCAGCAGCAAGCAGGCGGAATGCAGAGTGTCACCTCTATGTGGTGACAGCTCAGAAAGTGAGCACCAGGACCCACCAGGGGACTGCAGGAGACCAAAGCTAGTTGTGCAGCGATAGTCCTCCTGCGGCGGACTTGACTCTCATCTCCGGTGGCTCCGATTTCTCCTTTAATTGGGGGGATTAAAGAGCAAGATGAGAGGGCAGCAGTTGGGGCCTGGGCCAGCAGGCGTAGGACCACGCAGACAGAATGTCCGTTTTGTCCCTGCTGGTGTCTCCTTGCCTGCCTGCCTGGGGTCCTCTGAGGGAAGTGGAGCCCTGGAGGAAGCGGGAAGAGCAGGCCTGTGAGGACAGGGCAGAGATGGGGAGGAGCCTGAGACCCTGACCCAGCAGCGTCCCCCCCACCCCCGTCTGAGCTTTGCAGGTCACTGCCATGCACGGCCCTGCTTGGTGCCCTCTGGCACACAGGAGTGGATGGGGGGAGGCTGTGGGTGGAGGCAGCACCTGCCTTCCCCATGTCCTGCTGTGACACTACTGTGATGTGCAGGCTGTCCTGTGCCTCTGTCCAGCCCTGCAGCGGAGGACGAGGACGCTTTAGTGAAAATGTGTACAGCAGCCTTCGGGGGATTTGCCTGTGTGCTGTCCCTCCTGGTGTCCATCTTCACTGTCCAGCCAGAGAGTTTTCTGGGAAACCTTCTCCATGATTCCTCTTTGCCCTCGCAGTCCCACCTGCAGCTGCCCCCCAGCCCTTCCTCTGCCAGCAGATCCCAGCCCTGCGCCCTCCACTGCCAGTGAGGCGCGTGTCTGTGCTTCTAGGATGCGCCTTGCTCCCCTGCCTTGTGCCACCGGCTTGCAGGGCGGAGGATTTTCCTAACGTGGTCTGTGTGTCTCTCAGGGGTCCAGATCCGGCTGACTGTCAGTTCCGTAAATGCAGTAATAGCAAGCACTGCCCTTCTGGTTGTACATGGTCTTGTCGGGTGCTGCACTCTGAGGGGGCTGTGAATTCATGTGGAGACCTCGCCTGCAAAGCCTGAATCCTGTCCCTTTTGGAAAGGCTGTGTCCTGAACCGCAGGGGTGCTGGGCTGGATTTTTTTTTGCAGCACTGGGAGACCAGGAGCCAAAAAGAAAGGGCATTTGTGAGTGTCAGGATGTCATCATGTGGGTCCTCATCCAATTCCAGGGCATGCCTGGCGGTTTCTCCCTCTAACTCCAAGTCCTGCCCGTTCCGGTTTATGGTCGCTGTCGCTGTGCTTGGTCAGCTGGCCCCAGCATCCGACTCCCAGGGGCGCCCCCTGGAGGCCGCAGGGCGCAGTGCTGACTCGGGACCTTGTCTTTCCAGATGCTGTCTTTGCGTTCCAGTTGCGCAACCCCGTGCACAACGGCCACGCGCTGCTGATGCAGGACACACACCGGCAGCTGCTGGAGCGCGGCTACCGGCGGCCCGTGCTCCTGCTGCACCCGCTGGGAGGCTGGACCAAGGACGATGACGTCCCCCTGATGTGGCGCATGAAGCAGCACGCTGCGGTGCTGGAGGAGGGGATCCTGAACCCCGAGTCCACCGTGGTGGCCATCTTCCCCTCCCCCATGATGTACGCCGGGCCCACCGAGGTAGGCTGCGCGTCAGGTTCCCGTGGACCCGTGGGCCCCTGTGTCAGGGACGCGTCCCTGGCTGGAACCACGACCCAGCCTCCGCGGGGAAGGGGTTTCCGCCGCTCTCTCCACGGCCTCGGTCCCTGCATGTGGGAGAGGGTGACCAGGCCTGGTGTCACAGATGCAGCTCCAACAGTGCAGGTCCCCTCGGCATCTTTAACAGCCCTAGGTCACTGTCCTGAGGGACAGGCCTGGGCTGGTGCTTGCCTCATCTGAGTTTTGCTAGCTGTAAAGGTCTTTCCTCTGGGAAGTGGAGCGCACTGTGTCCCTCAGCTTTCTGTTCCCATGAGGAATGCCGGAGGCCTTGTGTTCTGTTTCAGCTCACAGGCTGGGAGGTTCAGTACCGCCCGGTGGCCTCTCGCCTTTGCGTCTGCGGCACAGCAGTACCTCACAAAGGAAGCACAGAGCCGTACGCTCCTAGCCAGGAAATGGGAGAAGAGGGGTGGGGTCCCCTCTTGCTTTTTCTTCTTTTAAAGACTTTAAAACAAACCATAACAAAACAGAACAAAGCAGATCAGAAGAAAACATTGTGAGTGACACAGATTTCAAAGCAAGACAAAAGGAGATCAACAGTACCATGTCTCTTGTTTTCTTCTAAATAGTTGTCTGTATCTTCACACACAATGAATTCATACAAAACAAAATAGTATAAAACTGATCAGAATAATGAAAGTATTACAGGCCTTCAAAACCAGACGATAGGAAAATCAACAATGGCTACTGTAATGTCTCTTGTTCTCTTCAAAACAGCTATACATACCTTCGTGTATGTTGAAATTAAACAATACAAAACAGACTAAAATCACTCTGAACAAAAAATAGAAGCATTCCTGGATTTTACAGCAGGATGATAGGAAATCAGCAGTGTATACCATAAGGTCTCTTTTTCTTCAAAGTAGCTGTTTATATCATCATCCATAATATGATCGATTCTCGTTAACTGTTCAGGAGAAGTTTCAGGCATGTATAAGCCTCTACATGTACACCTATCCTTTCTGCATTAGAATGAAAAACAAAACCAAACAAATTACTAGAAGAACAAACAGAAAAGACAAATAAGTAATACTAGCAAAGAGCCCAAAACGACAAAAGGCCTTCAAAACAAGGTAGTAGGAACAGAACTAAGGTGGTTATTTTACATAGTGATTGTCAAAAGAGTCCTCACACCACCAGACACAAACATGCAGGAATAACCCACTCCTATGAATGTTGGCTGTTTTGTTCCAAGGGTCCCCTCTTTCAAGGCCACACCCCCGGGGCCAGCAGCCCTCCCATTGGCTCCACCTCTGGAAAGCCCCGCTCTCCCAGGCTCTGGCTTCCTTCTGAGGCCTCCAGGTGTCCTGTCCACTCCCACCTGGGGAGCTCAGAGCACTCCCAGAGCGGTCCCTACCTGGTGCAGAGGCCAGGGAGGAAGCAGGCTTGCTTCTTGCCGTGAGGAAGAGGGGTCCCGTCTGGATGCTGCCCTGTGGTCTGGAGGAGCACTTGCCATCCTTGTGTCCCCATGGGGAGAAGAGAGCATAATCTAATTTTAGGTTCAAGACAGAGGAGGCTTTCAAAAACACTAGTTGAAGAAATGAATAAATCAGCGAGTGACCGTAGATGCAGTGGGTGGGAAATTCCAGCCAGCTGCCAGTTGAGGTTTCGTTGAGGTTTCAAGATGAAGAGTGGAATTTAGATTAGTGCTGCATTCCTTTCCGTCCCATTCCATCTTACAGGGAGCTCACATCACGGAGGTCAATCTGAGAGCGATCTGCGTCATTTACTTGTGCAAACTCTGTGACATCTTATCTCCCAACCCCAGATTTTATAGATTTAAAGCCCTAAAGTTTTTAAATGAGTGTTGGTAGTTTGCTAACTCTTTATCCTAGATTGGAACTTAGTTTTAGTGTACCGTACTTTGTTATATTTTTATCCTAGAAAATTTAACAGTGACAAGCTCCTGTGAAGGGACAGGCCTGTTGTCCCAGAACCGTGGAGGCTGAGACGGGAGGACCACGTGGAGCACAGCTCGGGCAATTGAGAGACTTAGCGTGACCCTGTCTCAAAGTAGAAAATAAGAAAGGGCTAGCGATGTAGCTCAGTGCGAAGGCTCGGGGTCCGAACCTAGGACCACAGAACAAAGCAGGAACAAAACAGTCAAAAGAAGCTGAGAGCTCTGGGTGTGTGTCTTCTTTTAGGATCAGCCGCATCATGTGTATAATGCACTGAAACGCCCCGCCTTCCTCTGTCTTTTGGTCCCCGTGAGAAGTGGCCAGTGGTAGCCCGGCGTTTACCAACTGCCCTTTAGTTCTGACATCTCAGAGAAGAACTCTTTTGGAAATAAAATAACGGTTTTGTTCCGGTAGTTGCTCCTTGTTTCGGTAGTGGTGTCGGGTGTTGTGAAGTTCCCCTGCGTTATGGACAGGTGCTTCTGAACGCAGGAATGACCCACGTTGGGCTGTCTTCTCAGAGGCCACTGTGCCCTACTTCAGGGGTGTGTGTCCCTACCCTCCACAGTGCGCTGGCTGTCACAGGACCTGCCCTGGCCCCTCCCCTGCCTCTGTCACCACCCTCCAGCAGGATCTGGCAGTGAGGGCAGCCAGAGATGCTTATGGGGGGGTCCAGGCGTGGGTCTGGGCTGCTCACTGCTGGGGGTTCACGATTTTGAGTTAGCCTTGCTCAGATTTTCTGATCTCTGCTTGCGTGCACATTATGTGCTTGTCAGAAGGAAGCACACCCAGGGCTAGATCCTCTGACCAGTTTCTAGTTTGTCTTACTTTATTTTCACTTTATATTGCATTCTGAGTTGGAAGATGTACACACTTCCTAAGTTCAGTGAGAGTCTCCCAGTTAGACAGAAGCATGCAGCCAGCTCCTGGATTGGAAAACAAATTTCCGTCAGTGCCGGAGATCTGTCCTGGCCCCCTCTGCTTCCCACCACCCTGAGCCTATGCACCAGTGCGTCCTGTGAGACCCGAGGCCAGCACTTGGATTCAGCCTGGGGAGCTCTCGGGGTCCCCACCTGTGAAAGGGAAGAGGAAAGGGGCGACACTGGGTGAAGGGAGAAGCTGAACAGCTTGGGCACAGTGGAAGCCTTAGTTTACCCCTAAAGTGGTTCTGGAAGGAGCCTCTGTAATGTCCTAGAGTCACCAGTGTCCTGTGAAAGGGGGTGCAGGCATCAGACTTCTGTGTCCTTGCCTTTCTGAGCACCCATCTGTTGCCTGCAGCAGGAGCAGAGGCCCTGGGCTCGGGGCTGTGCATTAGCCCTGTGGGGTAGGCGGTGCCCAGCTGGCTCCCCAGGTGCAGGACCTTCCTGTACCCCACCCACAGCACTTCACGGCCGTGGCTTTCTGTGCTGTGCGCTGTCCTGATCCCGTGCAGCCAGCCACCCTATAATACTCTTCCTGCTTCTCATCTGAACTCAATCTTTTTTCTCTTATTGGGCCATTTCCACCAAAAAAGAGAAATGGACTTCAGTGCGTTTTGGTTGCAGGTGATTAAAAAAATGCTTTTACTGAGCACTACCAGTGTGTGTTACGGATGCTGAGTGCATTGCATGTTAACCCCTGTGATCTTCCTGAGGCCAGTAGGATACCAGGTGCTCTCAGTGTCCCCATCTTACAGGTGAGGAGCCCCTCGGGAGGCTGAAGGACCTCCCAATGGGTGAATCTAAGGAATCTGGTTCCAGAGCTGGATGTCATCATCTCAGAATTCTTGCATTATCCCTTGGCATTGAACTACCTGTCAAAACTTGGAACCACATACTTTTTGAAAACAGAGGAGAACTGAATTCACACACAGTAATGGGTCAGGAGACGTCTGCCTGGTGTTCCTTCCAGAGAGCTATAGTGGGTATGCAGCTGTAGTGGGTATGTAGTGGGGTGTGGCACGTGGATCTCAGCTTCTTTCCAGCCTGGAGCAGGGCGCTCCGAAGCCCCGACGTAGCTGTAGCCTCAGCCTTTGTCTTACGAACCAGGCTCGCATCCTGCCTGCATTGCTGTGAAGCGTGGATAGGGTAATGTAAAACCGCTGTGTTCTGGGTTTGTGACAGTGTGGGATGATGTTAGTGGCCTTAAAAAGTAACAAAGAAGCACTTTGTGGTGAGTTCCCAGTGCCCTGTTCTGGCTGTCCATGTCCATGGGGAGCTGACTGCAGCTCAGGGTCGCCTCCTAACTGGAGTCCTGGCATTCCTGACATGCCAGAGCGTGGCGTGGCCTGTCCAGCAGGCCTCATTCAGAATGTGATGCTTAATAAAGCATGGAGCTCTTAGAGTTAGGAAGTGGAAATAACCAGTTTTGAGTGCTTGGGTCAATGCCTGGGGAGACATGGCTTTTATTCCCATGTCACCAGTGAGGTTTGTGAACGTGAGAGGGACAGGCACTTACTGATATGCTGCCTTGGGGGACCAGAGAGCACAATCATTGGAGCAGTTAAGCCCGACTTTACTCAAGGCCTATGGGGACAGGAGTGATGTTAGACCTCCAAATGGTGTAGGGGAAATGGTACAACTCCCAGCCTGCTAGAGATCTGATACACTGAGTTTTCCTCCCCCAAAGTCAAAAAATGAATTCTAAGGAACAGTGAAGGTTATGGGCAGAAAATCTTTATTGAGGGAGAAACAGGAAGGCCCCGAGTGGGTTGCTAAGGTCCCCACTTCCCGGGGAAGTTTTGTAGAGCACAATGAATTGGGTACCATGTGGGTTACAGCTGTGACCAGCCAAGATTACATGTACAGTCGCTTAGGCAGTGTTGATCCAATGGGGGAGCAGGTCACAGAGCAAGTGTATGTGGAAAGAACAGAGAACTTCCGAGGAAGGGATGGCTCTGAGGGTCTTGATCATGCACTGAGTGACAGACGTCCACAGAGGTTTCCTTAGACTGCTGTTACCGTGTCTCTTAGATCTGATCCTTCTGTCTTTATCCCAAGGCCTGGCCTCCAGTGGTTGCACCCTGGGCCACAGCTGGGATGCGTTCTTACCTGCTGTGCCGGCTCCATGGAGGGCCTCGGCCTGTCTGCCTGTCTGTCGTGTTTCCATCTAGCGTGGCTGTCTGCAGTACCACTGCAGGAGGGCCGTCTTCAGTATGGAACTGGGCTGGTAAAGAGCTTGGCCAAGTCAGAGTTTCAGCCAAGGAGCAGTGTAGGGCTGGGGGACCGAAAAGGGCCTGCGAGAGCAGCTGAGAGAAGTTGGTGCCTAAGAGGGTTCTGGCCCAAGGCAGGCAGAGTGGCCCCGTGTCACCTGCCATGCTGAGGGGTGGAGAGTTTGTGCAGGGATGGGGTGGCTGGCATTGGAGGGTTCTCAGCAGATAGCTGGGCAGCTTTGTTACCAGGGGCAGCGCAGGTGCAGCGAAGATGGACATGGTGGCTCAGGCTGAAAGCACTCAGGGTGGTCAGGGAGGGACATTGTCAGTGTGAAAACCTGGCTGGCACAGGGCAGGGCCTCAGTACCTTGTCCTTGGCAGTCGAGAATGGGGCAGAGAATTAGGTACTAGGTGCTTAGTGCGGCGGCCCTGAGCTCCCTGGCCCCAGAAAGAGAGAGGGCCCAAGGGTTGGGGCCGCGTGGGTCTGGCCTGGGTGTGAATTGGGAGTTGGAGAGGCTTCTTGAGGAAGCCCTGAACCTCCTGCAGTGTAACTTTTCAGTGTTTAATGAAATCCTTAAACGTTGAACCATGAAATGCTTTAATGCTTGTGACCTGATGACATTCAAACTGCTGGGGTGAGCAGCTCAGGAAGGCTTTGCGTTCTTTTCTGTAGTGCTGCACTGGTGTGTCTGACTCACTCGCAGCTTTTACGTGAAGAATTTGCACGTGCACACACGCACATGCACACCAAACCGTCGTTTTTGTAGCTTCCCCTGGACATCAGGAAAAAGTCCGCCAGTCATGCTTATTCACCAGCTCATAATAATAAAATACAAACATGGACTCTTCCTTTAGTCGTTTCCCGTAGGTCCCTCGGAAGGCATTGGTACCAGATTGGTTTCCTTAGCACAAATGCTTTTCGGAGCAGTGAACAGCTGCTGAGACTGTTTAGTTATCAACAGGATGTTCCTGATTTTCCAGTCTATAAAGATGGAATGGCTTGATTCCTAAATTCCTTAGCCTTGGGTAGGGGCTGGAAGCAGGGAGAATTGACTTTCTAATGCTAATTTTTGTCTGCGTGAGGAATTAATTGCCAGTGTAGGAAATGCACTTTGTCTTATTTATGAAAATCTAAACAATATACTGTGAGAGGAAAGTAAAAATAAGTCTTAATGCCAAGAGTTCTATATTCAAGCAAGATTATCCTTAGAAAATAACACAGTGACAGCATTTTCAGATGCTGGAAGTTTGAGAATTTAGGGAGGATGCTGGGCTGAGGCGGGCAGATCCCAGGGATCCCATCGTCCCTGTGCTGGACACAGGGCCTGAGGAAGCAGGGAAGCCACTTGGTTGGGCCACACATACATGAAACTCCTGTTGGAGTCAGAAAGTAAAGTCTGGTTTACAGTATAGTATCGAGTTCTAGTTATGGTGTATGCTACTTAGTTCATTGATAAAAACAAAGCAGAAAATAAATCATTCATTGTCTGGCTGGCCGTTTACAGACAATCTTATATGGGTTTATGGGAAACTTTTGGAAATCCTCTTGCTTTCCTTTATGGCACGCATCCCATGTTCCAGGTTGCATGGTGCTTGGACAGCACCTCCTAACCTGGCTCCTCGGGAAATAAACAGGCTGGGGAGATAAACTGGTGGGTGTCACTGGGCTTGTAGCACCCATCTGGTAGGTAGCCTGTCACTGAATCCAGGGCCTTTGCACTGAGCTGCATCCCCAGGTAGGGCTTGAACTTGTGATCCTCCTGCCTCTGCCTGCTAGAATGCTGGGATTACAGGCATGTGCCACCAGGCAGAGGCTGAAGTCTGTACTCTTAAATTGAGGTTGCTATAGGCTGACTTGCATCCTTGTGGTTAAATCTTGTTAACTTCTCAGCAAGTTGTCAGTTGCCTCAGAGTAGACCTTCTGTTTGTCCATGTCTAATTTTAAAACGAGGTCTCAAGAGAACCATTCCCTGAAATGTAAATTGAGAGTCATCAGTCAGGTGCAGGAGAACACTGTCTCCCTGTTCGGTCTGCTCACATTTAATTTCCTTGTAACCTTTAGAAGTTAAAGAGGTGACTTAATTCTCCTGGTGATTTTCCAAGCCTGAGAGTTGGAACCAGCTACTGCCCTGTGTGCTGTGTGACCCCAGATCAGTGCTTAATTTTTCTGGGCTCCAGTTTCCTCTTATTTTAAGAGGGCAAACCAGTTTGGATTAAATGATCCGAGCTTCCTAGCCTATTTATAAAAAGTCAGATAGTCCCAGTTCGCCGACCCAGTGTTTGAATGATAGACATAAATATTTAATGAGCGGGTGAAGTTCACTTGAGTTCAGAGACCCTCGACTGCCCTTTGAATTTAACTCCACACAGGCAGCTGCTCATTTGCGTGAGACAGAAGGGCGTTTTCATTGCACTGGGGTTGTGAACTGATCAGGGGCTCACACACTGCTTTTGGGTTCCTTGATGAAGATTCAGAGTTGAACGTAGCAGAAGCAGAGCCTCTGCTCCTCATCTGTGTAGGGGCCAGCGGCTGTGAGCAGGGTTGCCGTGGACTGCTGAGGCTGTAGGAGGGCAGAGGAGAGGCAGCGCTGCCCGCCTGTGTGCAGGGAGAGGCGTCTGCGGGCATCAGGTCCACATGAACTATTGCAGCTCCATGCACGAAGTAGCAGTGCTGTTGCGGAAAGGAATCTGGTTATAGCACCTTAGCATCCTGTCTCTGGCTGGCAGATGGGAAAAGAGAATCAAGGCAGTGCTGGGTTGTGCCGGATGTAGACCGATTCTGTTTTGTAGGTGAGGTCCTAATGGGAACAGGTAGGCTTCAAAGCTAGTTTTGGAGGCAGAGTTGCTGTCCACGCATCCCCAGACTCTTGTTCTGGTCTTACCTAGTGTCCTGGGTCGTGGTCACTGAGTGGGGACCTTCTTCATCCCTGCTCAGGTCATTATCATCCAGTATTTTTTTAACCAGTGAAAGTTAAAATGTAGGGAGAGGTTCGTGAGCTGTAAGTATGCTCACAGTGCAAAGACCTTTTACAGCAACCACAACCTGATTGCCAGTGCCCGGATCCTGGACCCAAAACCAGGATGTTGCCTGTATCCTAGGAGCCCCTGGTGGTTGCTTCCCACTCAGGACAGCTGCCCTCCTGACCTCTGCCCTTATATGGTAGGTTCTAATCACCAGCTCAGCTGGGAAAAACCACACACACAGGCCTTTTGTGCTAGATTCTAGGGTCTTGGGCCTTTTATAAGTAAGTCATGTGTTTGTACATACATATATATATATGTTTATGCATTTGGTTTTGGTGGGTTGGTTTTTTTGCCAGGGTGGAGGGAATAACGTTCTGGCTTCCCCGGATGATACAGGTGAGAGTTTGTACCGTTAGAGGACACTGAGAGCAGGTGCATCACTGTCCACCAGTGCTGCTCTGTGCTTGGTCCTGGACATGCGGTCGCCTCACAGACAACCCTTATTCTAGGTCCAGTGGCACTGCAGAGCGCGGATGGTGGCAGGGGCCAATTTTTACATCGTCGGTCGAGATCCGGCTGGCATGCCGCACCCAGAGACGGGGAAGGACCTCTATGAGCCCACCCACGGCGCCAAGGTGCTGACCATGGCCCCTGGCCTCATCACCCTGGAGATCGTGCCCTTCCGGGTGGCAGCATACAACAAGAGGAAAAAGCGAATGGACTACTACGACGCCGAACAGTGAGTGTCCCGCCCTCCGCCCAGCCTCGGAAGCAGCAGGTGGTCCCAGGCGCTGGCAGGGATGCCCACTCACACTGTTCTGATGACAGCCCTGTTGTTGATGGTTCAGAGAGAGGCAATCAAGGAGACCGGTTGTCTCATCCTCCTAAAAGTTAGAAGTAAAAATACACGTTGAGTAAAGTGTTGCAGTGCACAGTTTCAGGAATCCTGCAGTTCTTCAGGGCAGTGGCAGTGTTTCTGTGTCTGCCAGGTCTGCCGCAAAGTTACCGGTTGAACTGGACACAAAAATGCTGCATTTCCCCTGAGAGACCAGCACTGTACGGATTTCTGTCTGTGGGTTGCATGCAGTCTCTTGAGTTTACAACGGCAGCCAGCAGTGTAGACTCAGAGGTTACGAGGTCCAGCTGTGTCTGTGCCATGTGGTTTGAGAGTCCTGAGCCTCCTGTGCCCTCTCCCCATCTCTGGAATATACCCGTTCCCTCCTGACTCCTCCCATAATCCATGGCACCTAGTGAGTTTTAAACCGTTAGGGGGTCTCGTCCATGCAAGTTGTTTTGTTGAGAGGCTCTCATTTAGTGCACCTGCTTTTTCAGTTCAGATTCTATTAAGCAGATTAAACAGATCATTCGGTAAATGCTTCTGCTTTCAATTACATTTTGTCAGTGTCCGTCCTGCTGACCAAACACTGGTGATGGCCTGCTCACAGCGATCCGGAGCTCTGCCCCATCCCGTGGCACTTACGTGGGTTTTGACTGAGGAGTGACGTCAGCCCTGACCCTGTGTCCTCATGGGGTTCATCACAGTAGGGACAAGAAAGAAAAAGAAACCTTGGAAAAATTAAAACAGTGTCATCTTGTTTCTCAAAGGAATGTTGAGCTATTTTCTTTGAGATACAGAAGTTGTGTGGATAGTGGAATGCTGTTTTCTCCCCTGCGGACCGAGGACTGGTTGGTGTGCTGTTCAGGGACAATAATTTTGGAGACAGTGCATGTACTTTGGAGGCAGCAGGCTTTGCCGAGTGACGAGCTGTGGCTAAAATACGAGATGGTCTTCTGCAGTGAGTGAGCAGCCAGTTTCCAGAACTGACCCGGACAGGTGTGAGTGGTCCCAGCTGTCCCTGGGGCCCAGATGCGGGATTCAGCATAGCGGCAGTGTGGGCCTGCAAAGGCCGGGACCTCAGATGTGACCGATCCTGAGGCTCTTGGGGGCCACACAGGACTGTGTGACCAGCTGGAACATAGTGTATACCAGCCTCGTATAAACTCAGGTCTGCTGCCACCTAGAAATAGTTCTACATCATGTGGAACTCGCCTTTAACCTTAAAACTGTGTGTGTACATGTATGTATGTATGCATGTATATGGATCTGTGTGTGTGCCTGAAGTTTCACTCTTAAATGCACCTATAAAAATGGTATGCTGAGAGTCATATAACTGACCATTTTAAAACCAAAGGGAAGTCTCTTTAAATTTTTACAAAATAATTTTAAGAAAAATGAAAGCAATTACAGTTAACTGTGGGCTCTAAAACCACAAAGTACCTTAAAATGCACATTATTAAGGAAAGTAAAAGCATTTGGGAGACAGTCTGCTCTCCTGTGGTTAGATTTCAGCAGGCCACCAGCAGAGGCTGCCCGTTGGCATTTCTTATAAAAGCCCCACCTGCAGCCCACGCAGGAGTGTCCAGTGCCTCCCTCCCTCCCTCCCTCTCTCCCTCGGCACCTCTGAAGCCCACAGTGTCAGGATGCTGGACACGACACTTCTGGTTTCTCACTCAGCATACAACTTGTTTGTTCAGGTTGTGTACAGTAAGAAATTGGTTCTGAGAGTTAAAATGAACCACGTTAAGTCACTTAAATACCGCCAACGGAGGGCAAAGAGCGAGGAGGAATATCATGCTGCCAGTGGCTGAGAACTTTTGTGTGGATTTCCGTTTTGTTGTGTTAAGAAAATACGCTGAGCTGAAGGCAGCGTGGCGCCTTCCTTCTCCGCTCCTCGCCCTGGCCGTCTGGAACTGGGGTCCCTTACCTGGTCAGTTGGTCTAACCACACCAGGGCTGGGGCCATGTGATGGTGCCGACTGGTGAGCTGGGAAGCCCTTGCTCACTTGGACATCTGCTTAAATCTGTGTAGCGTTGCTTTAAATCTCTCTTTTAATCATTCCAAAGCTAAATAGTCACATTGGTTCTCAAAAGATTTTCCGAAGATGAATTGTTACATGAGCAGCTTATTTCCTTGAAAGTTTTTTGAGTTATAAATCTTAATAAGTTGTATCTTGGGAGGCTTTAAAACTCCCTTAATTTGCTAAGTTTTTAATATTTGTGTGCAGATATAACTAAGTTGATGGGAATATGTGGAAAAGTGATTAAAATTTTGCAGAAAGCAACAGTCTCTGATGTAGTGAGAAAACTTGGTTATTATGCACATGAGGTTGCCTTATGTTTGATTAATGGATGATACTCAATGCCAGCATTTATGTAATTAATGATTTTGTAGCTTTCGATTTGATTAACTACCAGTGTAAGACAAGGCTTAGGGGAAAAAATTATGGAGAGTTCTGGCAAGATATTATGGATAGGAATTGTGATAAAAATCATCCATTTACATTCAGGGAGTTGAGGAGGTTCCTCTTGAGAGTGATTCAAGGAAATTTTGTTTTAGGACTGAGATGAAAGCCCAGTTTTAGCCTATTACAAACTTGTAGAGAAAATTCAATTATCTTGTTTATATTTGTTTGTTTTAGAAAGTAAATCTTTGGGTAAATACAAGCACATGAACACAGATTTATTTAGATTACTGAAACAGTGAACAAAAACAGGGAACAGAACTTGTGGGGGAAGCAGCTCTGGAGGGGACCAGTGAGGGTGTCTGTCACTGCCGACTGGGATCCTGGTAGAGCATTTTATATTTTTAATGCTGGTGTATACTTTATATTGTAAGGCTGGCATCACTATAAAGATGGTTTATTTGAGACAGGGTCTCCCTATGTAGTTCAGGCTGGCCTTGAATTCACTACATAGCTTGGGGTGGGCTCAAACTCACAGTGATCCTTCTGCCTCAGCCTCCCCAGTGCAGGGATTATAGGCCTGTGCCACCATGTCAGCTAGTGCCATTTTAGATGGCACTGTAATCCCTTGCAAACTCTGAGGTACTTGCAGACAACCTTCCCTTTTATAGACTTCTCACAGCTGGGTGGGGAGTCAGCTGCTGTCCTGATTTAAGCGTGGTGACTCTGAAATCCACAGGCCAGCACTGCTCGGGTGTTAACACAATAGGAAAGTAACCTAGCTTGTCACAGCTTGGAGATAGAGATTACGAGCAGAGAGCTCCCTCACTGTTCGTTGGGACTGAAGGCTGGGGGAGCTCACTTGTCTCCCTGAGCAGCCTGGGCTGAGTGTGATGGCTCTGGGAAGCACCTGCATCCATGTGCTGACTCCAGCCGTAGAGCTGCAGCACCTGTCTCCTCCTTAGCTGCTGGCTGAGTCACTCCCTGTCCTGAGGTCACCCTGAGTCCTTGCCATGGGCCCTCTTGTTCTTTGTGAAACCTTGGTGCCCCAGAATGTGACTCCCTGTGCTACTCATGGGGAAGAACATTCTTTGCTTTCCTCATGACCACTTCCATCCACCCAGATCATTTTGTGGTTTTGAAGTCAGCTGATTAGTAACTGGTTGCACCTGCAGAACTCCTTGGTGCAGCAGCATCATGGCAGCCACACTGTGGGGTACAGGCCATTGGCTGCCTCTGTATTCTGCTTGCCACATTCACGAGCTTTTCTCTAGAGATGTCTTGTGGCTACTTAAAATGAACAGACATCACCATCACTCTCAGAATATCACCAATCCTAACTTCTGTTCCACAGAACCTTAGTGTCTTTGTTACTTTTCTCTCATTGCTGAGACAAAATACCAAACACCCCAAATTAAGGGAGGAAAGTTTTATTTAGCTCACAGTTTGTGGAGGTTTTAGTCCATAATCAGCTGGTGCCAAGGCAGGGTGGCCTGGCTGAAGGGCAGCTATTCATGGCAGTGGGAGATCCTGAAAGCAACCAGAGCCAAAGGAGGAGCAAGCCTCCTTTGTATTGTGTGCTGGATTCCCACCATAAGGTGGTGTAGCACTCACACCCCCAATCCCAGGCTCTAGATTTGGCTGCCTTTGAAAAGCCTATCACCATGACTGTATGAGGTTTTGGGGGACCATCTAGACACAAAGCATAATTGTCTGCCTGTGGCTCTCCAAAGACTCATATATATCCCTTTATGTAAAAGGCCTTTAGTCCATCTATAAGAGTTGTCAAAGCCCTAACAGTTTTAACACTGCTGGAAAGTCTAAGTCCCAAGTCTCATTTGAGATGTAAGGCAAATTCTTAGCTGTGAACTTCTGTACAAATGAAAAGTTAAACACTTACAACAATAAATGCCACCAGATAAACATTTTTCTCTTAAAATTTATAAACAAGGAGGAGTATAAAGGAATAAGATCAAAGCAAGTCCAAAATTCAGCAGGACAAACAGTAAGTTTTATAGTTTTATGTGCAGCGTGTGGAGCAATCTGTGAGTTCCAAAGGACTTGCGTGGCTCTGTCTCTGTGGTACTTCTGGTGGTCGTAGCTCCCACAGCTTTTCTCTTAGGCTCACTTTGCTCCCTTTTGGCAGCTTTTCCTGCGTGATCCATGTTTTTGGCTTTCACAAATTTTGGGGGTCTCTACTGCACCTTTGGCTTTATACACATAGCTTTACATATTGCACTATCAGGGGCACACTGCCTGGCCTCCCAGGCCTTCTTTTGAAATTTGTGTGGGAGCCTTCCTGATCCTACAACTCCTGCATTTTGCATGCACCTAAAACCAGCACCTCGCAGCTGATACCGAGGTCTGCCACCAGCTGGAGCCATAGCCAGGCTACCCTCTCTCTTGGTTGTAGGGATTGAGTGCCTGGATCACTGAGCATAGATACTCACTCAAAGAGTCAAATGCAAAAGAGTGCAGGAGATCTGTCCATACACTG